TGCGAAAAGCTTAGCCAATATATTTTTTTATTGCATACAAAAATGGGATTATAATAAAAACGAAACGGATACTTAAAAAGCAAACGCGACTTTTACAACACTGTAGCACGCACAGGACGCGCACCACGTTGTTCACTCGACAACAACCATCCAGGCACTGAATAAACGCTGCGTCCAACAAAGCGCAGCAGGTCCTGGTCCACACACACACACACATACATACCAACAGTAGCTGCACAACTCAGCAGGTAAAGCAGCAGCAGTAGCAGCAGCGCAGCAGCAGCGACGGCTTTGTCTGGGCCGCCACATAGGTGAGAGCGGAGCAGCGGCAGTTAACTGTTGCTCCACACAGAGAGAGAGAGAGAGAGAGAGAGAGAGAGCGAGAGCGAGCGAGTGAGAGCGAGTGCCGATATGTTTTGTGTGAGAGCGAGTGCCAGTGTTGTCGTGCGGCACGCGCACACTCCAAAACTGTTGCGCCTGGGACGTTTATCGTCACAATGTTCATTATATTAAGCGTAAAAGCTTTGCGTGACATAGTTTTTGTTGTTTTTTTTTTTGCCTTTTAGTAAGCTTTTACGCCACAATGCTCAGCACTCTGTGCTCTGTGTGAGTGTGTGCGTGTGTGTGGGCGTTTGTTTATGTTGTCTTCGCCAAGAGCATGTGCTTCACACACACACACACTCGCACACTTGAGACAAACTTTTTGTTTGGCGTGCCTGAAAAATGGCGTCGCTTGACCTCAGTCTTGAAACGCCTTTATCAATGTGTGTCTGTGTGTGTGTGTGTCTTTGTCTGGCATTGTGTCTGTTTGCCTTTTGTGTTTCTAGGCCGCAAAACGAATGAGTTAATTTTATGTTAGACACAAATATAAAATAAGGCACATTTCTCACTTCTCGCTTCTTTTGTTCGCTTAAAATGAAGACCCATAAATGAAAATAAAAAAGGAGATAAAATAAAATAAAAAAAATAAATAAATACAAATAAAAAAGGAATAAGGAAGAACTGAGTTAATAGCAGCGCAATCAAGTTTAAAGAGAGTAGTAAAGAATTCTGATGCCGATTCATTGCGCGGCTTTATAAGCCAAAAGGCCTCCAACCCAAATAATTAGCATATTTTGGCCGGGGCTATGCAAACAATGCTGCAACAACAACTACAACTTTAACAACAAGAACAAGCAACAAGCAAAGCGCCTTCAAATGCAAAACAATTAATTCATGCGAACCAAAAAACGAAAGTGCGACCAAAAAAGTACAGTGCTGCCAGACTGCCAGAAGATTCAATTAACCATAAAGTGTTGGCTAAAAATTAATAATAGCAAAAATAATATAAATTAATGATAGTAATTAAAATCAAATTAATAATCATAATAATAAAAATAATAACAATCATAATATTAATTTTAGTAATTATAATAATAATATCTATAAATCATATCTCAAACTTCTCCAGTATTCGAAAATTTCGAATTAATTAAATAATAAACAATGTCAAGCATGCCTCAACTATTGATTTTCAATTAATGTATTAGTAAGTGTGGGCGTGGCATAGAAAGCTAAGCAATTTTAGCAGGATGTTAGCAGCAATAAATCAAATCGCGAAATCTTAAATCGTTCTCTAAATTTAATCTATTTCGATATCTGAAGGACATCAGTAATCCGTCTTCCAAATCTTTATGCACATTTTTCACAGAGCACACACACTGTGTGTCCCACTGTGCCTTTTGTGGCGACTGCTGAAATGGAAGGACGAGCTAAAGGAAATGGCAAACAAATTAAATTGTAATTAATCATTAGGCTGCTCCAGAAAAGCGGCAGCACGTGCTGAGAGCGGACTATGACAACCTCGGTCTACCAGTAATATATATATAGTATATACGTATATATGTATGTGGCCAATTAATTACAAAGCGCACAAGAGAGGCCAGATAAGAGCCAAATGGCATTTAAGAAATTAAGCCTGGCGCCAGTCACAAAAATTCCTGGTTGCTGAGAACCCCCAAAAAAATGAAAAAACGGTGTCAACAAGGCTTAACAATTAACACCCCAAAACGCTAAAGGGCTGCACACACATACACACACACACACACTCAACAACACACACACACATATATGCAGAGCGAGGTAAAAAATTAATTGCATTTTTTGGTAGCGCTTTTGTTTAATTGTATGCGATTATAACAATCCACATAAACGTTAAGTCAAATGCATTAAAACTCTTAATGACTGTCTGCGAGATACCCTACATTAGTATCGAAACAATTCTGATTATCAATTATGAGTTGAGTTCTGGTTTAAAGACATGTTTTTTTCCAGGTCTGAAGAGTTTTATAAAATAAAATTTTATTATATATAAAATAGTTTCTGATTAGAAAGGGTATGAATTCTTCTATTTTATTTTTATGTTCTCTCAAATCTATACTTATTAATAATTCAATAAAATATTGCAAATACAATTTTCACACCCTTTCAAATAGTTCTCAGTTTTTATAGGTAGACAATCCATGGGAAACCTCAGCTGAACACCTTGCCAAGGAATACTCAAATATTCTCTTATTAATAAATAAATAGTTTTTACTATTACTAACGAAACGACTTGTGTCTTTAATTAAACTTAAATTTAACAAAGAATATGCTATATTTAAATACGGAGAAAAATAATAATTGATAGAAATTCGAGAAATTCATTTCAAAATCACACAAGCTAAGAATAGGTTCAAATTTTTACTAGGGACTAGGGAATCTAAGACCAGGAAGAATCATTATATATATTAACAAATGATATTTATTTATTTATAAGAGAGGGGCACAATAGATAAACAAAATAATATATTAAGAATAAATTTGTCAACATTTTTAATTTGCAAACACGATTTTCACTCGGGAATAAAATGAAAAAGTTTCTTAAATTTCTTTCGCCAATAATGCTGTCAGACAATGCCAGATAAACACCAATTCACAATTTGCCGATTGGCATAAAATCCAAATAAAATTAAAATATATGGCAGCATTGTCAGAGTGTTGCACAACGGGAAGATTGGAAAGTGAAAGCGGAAATTTTCTAATTCTCTCTTCTCATTTTTACAGCCAATCAAAATTCGCTAAACGTAAAGTGCTTTGATGATCGGGCGAGAGAGTGAGAGACAAAGAGAGAGAGAGAATCATAAGCAGTAACTCAAGCTTAAAGCTTGCAATGCAAACCATAAGCTAAGAATAACGGTTTGTGTGCCTTACTCATCTGATATTTATATTGGACATTTCGCTTGGAAAATTGCATGCTTAAAGCGATGAACGTTTTTTACTCCATCAGAAAGTGTATGTTTATTATTTATGATTAAGACGAAACTCTCATGGAAATCCCAGTAACTGAGAGGAATACGAATAAAAAACATACATTAGCCGAGAACACGCGCCAAAATTGGCTCACTTTAATATGCTGTACACACACACACACATGAACAGCACGAAAACATTTGTTCGAATTTGGTGAGAAGCTGGATATGGTTTGGGGCAATAACAACAACAACAACAATAACAACCCCATCAGGGAATTTGGTGTGTGTGTCTCTATGTGTGTGTGTATGTGTGTGTGTGCGTGAGTGAGTTCTTGTTACTTGTTACACGTTTGTGCCACCATTATTTCTTTCATTTACTCGATTTTCCCTTAATGTTGTTTGCTCGAGTGCCGTTATCATTTGTCGGTATATTCCCATCATATGTGTGCCTCCACTCAGAGAAATTTCTGAGCACAATTGTGTTTATAAATCAATTTACTCATGCCTAGTTTTAAATAAGTACAAATTATTTCTGCTTTTAATATCGACAGTTAATTTTATGTAAATAAAAATATTTTAAGTTAAGATCAAGTTGAAAAGGATAATTTAAAGAATTTTGCATTAAAAGAAGGTGATACTTCTGAATTTATGAGATTCAAGTTTTAATTTAGGCTAATATATATTTTATTTTTCACATCCCTTTCTTGCGAGTGTATATTTGAGCGGGGAACTTAACACGCGCATGGTGCACTTCTCCATCCCTTCTCCTGCTCCTCCTCCTCCTCGTCATTTTAGTGTTCGGTTTATTCAGTGTGCTCCATTGGCTGCCCCAATGCCCTACGATCTCTAAACACAAACACACACACACAAAACATAAAAAGGTGCTGAATCAACAGTTCTTCTTCTTCTTCCTGCGTTCCCAAGTATACAGTTAAGCGTCTTGTCAACAAATAAAAAAAGCTGTCTCAGGCACACCAAATATGCCATACCTTTCCAGACTGGGGTTTAAAACTGAGAGAGCTGGCTATATGGATGCAACACTCAACTATTGCTATTAATTTTATACACGTTACAAACTTCCTCTGAAAACTAAACATCCCTTTAAAGCGTATTTTAAATGTTGCCCATAATCCAAGCTGAACACAGAACGGGTGCAAATTGACCTAACTTTGGGTAATTGTATTGAGATATTAATATTTATATTTATTTAGTTCGCTTTACTCTTTTCTTTAACTTAAAAAACAACAATAGCGCTTGATAAATTTATGCATTTGCTTAATCCAACTAGAATTCAATTGAACAACACCAACTTAGAATGTTGCCCATAATTTGAAATAAAAAACAGTTATTTAAACTGACCTTACTTCACAATTATGTTTATGTCTCAATTTGAAATGTTGCTCTCCGTTTATGAAGCTTTTAAAGTTTTATGTTTAGTTCGAAATAAATGGAATTTACTTTAAATAAAAAATACACCCGCAACGGATGAAATGAATAGAATTTTGTTAATTTAAATTAAAATAAATTTGAAATGGCAGCACTGCCGGCAGCGTTGCCATCCGAGCGCAAAAATAATGCATGCCATTCGCCACGCAACGTAAACACAACGTCAACAAAAACACTGACTAACAACGCATATTACAAATATACGTAAATATATATAAATATGTGTATATGTGTATGTAGCGAGTAATAAAAGCAAACGTAATTCCAAAAATAAAGTGGTCACCCATTTAAACGAATCAACAGCGGCCACACAAAAGCAACGACGACAGTTGCCACACTGCACTTGCAGTCGTCAACGGGTCAACAACAAATAACAGAACAATAATACAATAAAAAAAAAAAAAAACAGCAACCGCAGCAGCAAAAGAAGCCACATAAAATTTTTGTTATAAATAGTAGAGAATAGAGAGTTAAATTTGTTGCCTTTGAGGGCAGCTGTGAATTAATTGTGGGCATGTCCTATTTTATGCACAGTGCCAGCAGCGATTTGGTTAATCTCAATGTGGGCGGTCAACGGTGAGTTCTTACCAATAACTAACGGTAACTAAAGCTTTGCTCTGATGACGCATGCGAAAAAACTGCATATTATTTCCAAGTATTTATTTCCAATAATTCCCGTGCAGCTTCTCAACATCACGACAAACGCTTACGTGGATACCGGATACGTTTTTCACAGCGCTGCTGAGCGGAAGGATTTCCAGTTTACGCGATGAGCACAATGCGATTTTCATTGATCGCGATCCGACCTTGTTTTCAATAATCCTCAATTATTTGCGCACCAAAGATATTGATATTAAAAATTGTGAAATCCGTGCGCTGCGACATGAGGCGGAATATTATGGAATAACACCGTTAACCAAGCGACTGGCGCTGTGCGAGGATCTCAATCATTCCGCCTGTGGCGATGTGCTCTTCTACGGTTTTCTGGCGGCGCCAGCAATGCCACCAAATGACGCTCTGCCCCAGCAGCAGCAACAGCAGCCTCCGCTGGATGTGGAAGCCAGCACATCTGGTGGCGGCGGCGCACGTCCTGGTTCCATGGTGCGTGTGCCGGAGTCCTCGTCGCGACATTCGAGAAACTCTTCATGGGATTTGCGCTGTGGACGTGTGGCTGGTAGTGGCGCCTCAACTTCGGCAGCAGCTGGCACGGCCGGTGCCGCTTGGACAGCAGCTGGCGGACATTCCCGGAATGCTTCCCTCGATTTTATGCGCCACTCGCGCAACTCTTCGGCGGATCTGAACAAGGTCATCAGAAATGAGGTGGGTCTGGTGTTCAGTCCCACGCAGTGCTCGAATTGGACGCCACCGTTGCGGGTGCAGCTGATCAAGGCGCATCAGAATTGGATCGCTGTAGCCTATGCACATTTTGTGACCTGTTATCGTGTCAAGGATTCGAATGGCTGGCAACAGGTGTTCACCTCGCCGCACATTGAGGCAGCGATTGAGCGGATTGCCATCAATTCGAAGGTGAACACTTCGACGGCAGAACCGATGCCCAGCAAAATGATTGCCATCTCGTATGGTAGCCAGATCCGATTGTGGAGCATCCAGGAGGGCGGCAACAAATCCGACATTGGCACCTTTAATCTTCATGTGCGCGTCGAGTATCTGTTCTTCATTGGCAGCCAACTCGTCGCGTTGTCCTCCTCCGGCAAGATAGGCGTCTGGCATGCGATGACCCAACACTGGCAGATCCAGGATCTGGTGCCGGTTTTGTCCTTCGATTCAGCGGGCTCTTTCCTTTTGCTGGGCTGCAATAATGGTTCCATCTATTATATCGGTAAATATTCTGTCTTGTATTTAATTAATATAATTATATATTTTATTATATCATAAATTTAATTGAAAATGGCAAAGTAGATTAAGTATAAAATTATATGCTTGATTAGCATTAAAGGATATCTTTTAAAAAAAAAGCTAATCTAAGCGTTTAAAAATGCTTATTCTAGAAATTTAGCTTACATTTTTACAGAAATTATCTCTAAAAACAAGAAATGCTTTCTAGTTTTCAGGGAATTTTCTAAAATTGTTGGCGTTTTTCTGATTGTAAAACTTCCAAGTTGGATATACAAGTTTGTAACTATAAAAATTGACGTAGTTGAACAAATTATATTTCTTGCATAGAAGAAGATTATATATAAATATATATTTATCTATTTATATAGAACTAGGAAAACTTAGAGCTTATAGCAAGCTTGTAGCTGTGACTGCTGAGACAAGCTATGTTTTCTATTCAATTGTATGAGCTTTACGAGCGTACTATATTCGAAAGTATATAAAATCAACAGATATACAAATTTAATGATTTCAAAGCGCCTATTTTTAAAAATGCATCAGAAACACAGATATAAAAATCATACATAAAAATGCTAATTTCAGACAATTTTAATTTACAATTTCGAATTTGTATCTATTGTTTTTTTGCTTTTTCTTATAGACATGCAAAAGTTTCCGCTGCGCATGAAGGATAACGATTTGCTTGTCACGGAGCTATACAAGGATATAAACATGGATCCCATAACAGCGATATCCGTTTATCTGACGCCAAAAACATCGAGCATCAGTGGCAACTGGATTGAGATTGCCTATGGCACCAAATCGGGAGCTGTCCGCATCATTGTGCAGCATCCGGAAACGGCTGGACATGGTCCACATCTATTCGAAACATTCTTTGTGCACCAGAGTCCAATTACCAAGGTGAGATTATTTTCGATGTATATATATAGATATAAAAACTTAAATAATAGGCAATAGTCTCGAGAAGTTTGTTCAGAATTTTAATAACAGTTGTAATCGTGTCCCTTATCATGATGTAAATTAATTATTTATTTATTTATTATATATCTTATATTTTTCTTAACAAATTTGCCTTTAAAAAGTTTTGCACACCCAAATGTAAGCAGCAGAACTTGCGCTCAATATGCGAATATATATTCGACTATAACTTGTGAAATTCTTATAAGATCTTGATGAAATTAAATTAAAATTAAATTAAATGCATTATTTTTATATTTAAAAGTCACACAAATTATAATCAAATATTCGAATTGCAATAAATTTGAGTAGCCTTCAATCTTAAAATAAGTAATTGATTCAAATATATTTAAAATTAATTTATTATATTTAAATATCACACAGATATTAATGATTTCATAATTGCAATAAAAATGAAATGAATTTCTGTATTTTTCAGGTGATGCTGTCGGAGAAGTTTCTGGTGTCGGTGTGCAGTGAGTATCATCATGTGCGCACCTGGAGCCTGACACGATTCCGGGGCATGCTCTCCACGCAGCCCGGCTCCACGCCGGAGGCATCCTTTAAGATAGTCTCACTGGAGGCGACCGACAGCAATTATAGCTATGCAGCCGGCAATGAGTTCGGACCCTATGGCGACTACGATGACATGATCTTTGTACAAAAAGTGGTGCCCGAGACGAATCAACTTTATGTGCGCCTGGCCTCGAATGGGGATCGAGTGTGTGTTATACGCTCCGTGGACGGATCAACAATATCCGCATTTTGTGTACACGAATGCGAGGTGTCGTCGCGGATGGGCTCACGCTTTATACTCACTGGCCACTGTACGGGTGCGATACAAATGTGGGATTTGACGACGGCACTGGCGCTGCTCAATAAACAGGATGCGGCAACGATGGCGGCGGCGGCAACGATGATGGCACAGGCACAACAGCAGGCGCAGCAGCAGCAGCTGCAGCAGAAAACTGCAGGCGGACCCGACACTAACGAACTTCTCCGCCTACTTGACCAGTGTGAAATCAGCAATTCATCATGCTCAACACCTTGTATGTCACCGTGTCCAACGGCTTTGGGCGCCGGGAACGGACTGGCCAACTCCATAGCCCGGATGAAGGCCAGCAATATTGCGCTGCTAAATCGTGAACCAAGTCAATCCGGATTGGTAGCAGCAGCAGCAGCACAACAACAACAACAACCATCAGCTCCAGCTGCATTTCTGGCACAGATGCAACAGCAGGCAGCGTTGGCTATGGCAGCAGCACCACCACAGCAGCAACCACAACCAGCTGCCAACCATCCAGCAGCTGCTGCCGCAGTTGGTGCTGCGCCTGCTGTTGGTCTTGGTCATGGTCTTGTGCTCGGCGAGCAGCCGATTGTTAACAATGAATGAAACGTGGAAGCGGCTGTTTCGGCGCTTGTCGGGCGCGTTTCATCGTTTACATTTCATGGCTGTAGCCTGATCCTCGATTATCAATACATATTGCTGCAGTTCGTCCTCTGTGGCCTCATCTACTACGTCTGGCTGATGATGCGCTCTCGCCTCGATGGTGGTGGCAACAGCACAGCTGCAACAGCTGCAACTGCAACTGCTGCTGCTGGTAACATTCAACTGACTGCATCCGGCATTTAGCTAAATCAAATAATCTCCCCCATATACATACTATACATATACATATAGATATATACATATATATACTTACTACTGTGCTCGATGTGGTTGCAATTTATGCTCGTCATGTGCTCGTCACTTGTATCTATTGTATAAGCACACACACACACACCCATCATCTTCTCGTTGTGCGTGTGTGTGTTGTGTGTGTGCGTGTGTGTGTGTGTTGAGTGTGTGCGTGTGTGCCTTGTGCTACTGTCTAACGTAATTTGCGCATATGAAAATATATACATATTATTAACTTTAAATGCGATTTGCAAGACTTTTTATTAAACACTTTCTAAGCCTTGTTTTCAGATTGATCAAAGCAGTTCTATTTTTAAGGCGCTATTTCAGATACATGTTTGAAAAAAAGCTTTGAAACTCTTTCTCAATCCCATAAAAAATTGGTGGAAAAGACAACTAATTCCACTCAACACTCAGCCTAAAAAATCATGGGTAACTCACCATATTATTCAGAAAGTATATTTATCATTTCTTAGCAACATTTTTGTAAAAAGTTTAAAAAAATACATATTGAATTTTCAGTTTTATTAGCTCTAACTCTACTTTAACATTTGCAACTATGCTTCTATTATAAATAAATAAACATTAGTAATTTAGGATTTCCTATATACAAATAAGTATCTAGCTTATAATTTCAAATCATTTGATTTAAGTTACTTCCCACTGAGCTAGTCGGCCCTTTCAGCATGAAATATTTATATAAATAATATAAAATTCGGTCCAGTAAATTTCATAACATGGTCTTCATTATTAGAAATGATACTTTAAAAAAGATAATAGAAAATATTTCTAAGAAATAAAACAATATATATATATATTATTCGAATTTTTCTTATATTGTTTTTCTGAATTATGATAAACGAGAACTTATATTCCAAATTAGAAATATCTAGCTCTTATAGTCGCTGAGATTGGCTTGTTCATAAATGGATAAATGGATATCTCCCTTAATGCTAATTAAGAATATATATAATTTATCTTCGCTTTCTTCTGTTTCTCACTTACCTTTGCACAACTTTATTATAATCTTTTCACCATTCTATTGAAAAAAAAAACAATTGACAGTCATCAATAATTTATTCAACTTTTAGCTTAGTTATTATTTGATGCTTGAATACTTGAAAGTAATTTGTTGTTGGTTTTTGCATTTAACAGTTATCGTAAATGTATATATATGTACGTGTATATAAATGTAGTTATATTTATGGGTTATACATATGCATATATGTATTTGTGTAGTTTTGTATTTTTGTGTTTTTGTCCAGGCGACATTAATCAAGTAAAAAGCAGCAAAAAATGCCAACATATAAAAATATACAATCTATATATTATATATAATAAAACCTCTTGCTCACTATCTTCCCTAGACTTTATATATATATATATAAAGTTCTTTTGTTTACAATATCTTGCTTTATCAATAATGCCGAAAATAACTGCAATTCTAATCAATATTAAAGAAAGAACATTTTGCTTGCACAATTTCAACTAATATAGGACGCACTGGTATTTCGTATAGCTATATATATTTATATATATATTGTGTATATATATATATGTGGGGTTGAACATACAAATACTTTGTACATGAACTTCTTGTTTATAACTTACTGCTAGAGCTAAAGAGCGTTAAACGATATTGTAAAGCGAATATTGTTTACGCATTTCTTTCATTTTGATGGGGTCTATGAACTCTAATCAAAATATAGCCTGATATTGCCTATAACTCTACTGTTTACTGTTTGCTGTTTACTGCGCTTGATGTGCACTTATATATATATATATATATATATATATATATATATATATAATATATTGTTTGTGATATGTGCGTTGAAAAACTTGCGATTGCTAGGCAAAAATGAAAAATAATAATTTGCGCTTTAAATATATATATAAACTAGCAATAGAGTTAAAAGCAACGAGATCCAGCTCAACACTGTAACAGATAACAGATGCAATATCGATAAATATCGATAACAGCTAGCAGCAGTTGATCGTTACTTGTGCAATTTACACCTGAAAATAATCATCGACGACCAGCTGCTGATCGTTGCTCAACGGACTACTTGTGACTGACTGCTCGAGTCGCTCGTAGCCAGGATCTGTATTATTGCTGTTGCTGCTGCTGATGCTGCTTGTGGTGTTACTGTCGTTGTTACTGCTGCTATTTGTGGTCGCTTCAGTTGTTGTTGCAGTTGTTGTTGTGGTGTTTAAATAACAAACCGATTCATAGTTGGGATCCGTTTCGCTTAGCGATTCATATTGCGATGAATGTGGCGTCTGCTGCTGGGAACTTAGACTGCTCAGCATACTGGTGCTGGTGGTCACTGTAATCATGGACAGACTGTTGATCAACGAGGCAGTGGAGTTTGGTGAATTGATGGCTGCCAGTTGGGGATCGGGCAACGTATTCTCCGCAATCCTCGCATAATGATCGGTTTCATTGTTTGCTTGCTTCGTTTCCAATATACTGGCATAATTGTGATTGGCATCCGCACCGGGTATGGTGCTATAGCCACCGCTGGCATCGACCACATCAGCACCACTGCTTGGCTTCTTCTCCAGCACCTTGGCATAGCCATCATCCGAATGGGCGCGGCTCTTGAGCACCTCATAGTTGGGATCATAATCAGACTTTTTGGCATCGTCATCATTGCTGTGAATCGTCGCCGTCTGCTGCAGTTGCTCGTAGCCAGGATCATTGTTGCTGTGGCTGTGGCTGTTCTTGCTTCTGTTCGTCTCCTCCTGACACGGTGGGCAATTTATAGTCTCGTAGTGCTTTATGCTGTTGCTGGGCATTGTTATGGTTGTCACCTGGCTACTATTGTTGTGTGGCGTCCTCTGATCCGACGCCGCTAAACAGCAACAACAAAAAAGGCACAATTAGTTTAATTTTTTACATATTATTTAAAAAAGAGCATCAGCTAGTTAATAGATTTATATATACTAACCGTTGCCAGTTCCAAACAAAAACTGACGAAATTGTCGAAACGCGCAAATTTCTCATTTTGGCAAAACAACTGAGAGTTTCACAAAACATTATAGAAAAGTTATAAACAAAAAACACACACAAGGAGAGAGAGAAAGACGAGAGGAGATAGATTTGGGCACATTAGGTGATTAGACAAATTATAGCTGGGAGTTTTGGTATATTTATCTATATATATATATATATATATGGAAATGAACGATATTTGTTTGCTTTGAGGCTTTGAGAGCAATCGAAAGAGCAGCGCGACTGACAGATAATCGAAAACCAACAAAACCAATCAAATATATTAATTATCTTAAACAAACTATTAACTCAAATCAAAATAAATTTATGTAAACTTGTTTATAATAGTTTTGGCTAGCAAAGTCTGTGTTTCTTCTGTAATCTTCATGAGGTTTAAACAGTTGATTAATAATAACTATTTCCAGACAGTGAAGGTAGATGTCCAAGCAAGTCTCAATTAAGTACAGAAACAACTAATTGTTCCTCTACAGTTCGCTCCTTAACCAACCATTGGCTCGTCGGAATAGAGTCTAATTGAATTCAAGCTTAGCCGTGTAATGTAGAAGGGGAATCTTCTGAACACATCTCTTGCACTTGTCAGAAAGAGCTAAGTCATCCTGGGATTAGCCCCTTTCGAATCGATCTAGGATTAACTTAGATTCCGCTAAACTCACTTTTGATTGAATTTTCAACTTGATCTTTAAATGGTAATTAGAACTTATATTCCAATTTGCAAGTTTGTAGTTCTTATAGTCGCTGAGCTTGACTTGTTTATACAGACGGAGAAACGACTGCTCATTTTGATCAAGAATATATATAACTTATGGAGTCAGAGATGGTTCCCTCCGCTTTTCACATACTTTTGCACTTCTTTATAATCTTTTTCCCATTTTTAATGGTTTCATGATGAAAAGAAATCAATACTTCTTCATCTCTTCAAATGAAAATCGATTCTTCTATTGATGCTGATCAAGAATATATATACTCTATGGGGTCAGACGTGCCTTCCTCTGCCTGTTACATCTTCACTAAATAGTTTTTCCCCACTTCTGAACAGTAATCGGTATCAGTCTACAATAAAGTTATCCATTTAGTTCAGTGACATTTCACTCCGCCGCCAAAAGCACAAATATCGCTCATCTCCAGTGGAATACAGTCAAAATGGGATTACAGTGAGTACTCGATATGCTACCTGATTCCTGTAGTCGCTCCTTTTGCAGCATGCTGGCCGCATAGCAATCCGATTTCCGATTCTCGTGGGACAGCTGCATTTGGGAGTGCTTCTGTGCACCACCACCATCCGCTGGTATCGTTTCGTAGCCGTGATCCTTGGCCGTATAACTGTTGCTACGCACGCGACTCTTGTCACCAGCAGCAGCAGCAGAAGCAGCAGCAGCAGTTGATGACTTTTGTGTGTCCATCAGCAGAGCCGCTGCAGCGCTATCCAAAGGACTAATGCCCAGCAGCTCCGGCTGATGTGAGGAAAATTTGTGCTTCTTCATGACCTGGAAATGGGAGGAGAGTTTAAGAAGAGTTGCAGGAGAAGTTAGCTGGATAAGTCGAGCTCACCTTGGCATACATGCCCTCAATATTTCGATTGCTCCCTCCATCGACATCTTTGGATGGACTCAGACTCTTGCTGTGCTTGCGTTGCGGCGATGCCTCATTGCTGGCCTCATTGTTGGCATCATTGTTGCCGCCCTCGTTGCCCGCGGCTTCGATGACGGATATAACTGAACTGCGTCCGGAGGTGAGGTTACTGCTGCCCAAGCTGGCTTTTGGTGTTGGCGGCAACGGTGAGTTCGCCTGCCGTTTTTCCGGCTTCGGTGAGCCCAGATTGCAAACGGACGAGGAGGATGAGGCTTGGCGCGAATGCATCTGGGCACGCAAACTGTCCACATTTGGTGGCACGGGCATTGCATGCTCCATGCTGCTGCTGCTCGCACGCTGCGCTGCTGAGCTGCTTCCGGCAGTGCTGGGTTCTGCGGAAATGCTACTGCTATTGTTGATCTCTACGGCGACCACAATGGGATTGGCGGGCATTGGCTGGATTTGGGCATAGGTCTCCGAACCGCTCGTATAAATATCGGTGGCATGTAGAATGTGTCGATTATTAGGATCCTCAATAGCCGCATACGTTTCATCTGCAAATGGCCAGGGATTATTTCAAGACTTACAATTTCTGAACCAGCGAGACTCACCCGAATCATCCGAGACTGTTGCATAGTGCGAATCATTCACATCTCGAGTCAGGGTGACACTTCTGGCCGTCAATTTGTTTGCTGGCTGCTGTGCGAGTATGTTGGCCAGTGGCTCCCGCACACTGATGCTCGTATAGCCTTCTGTGAAAGATTTGTGCATCTTATTATTATTTATTATTATTATTGACGGGCGGAACTCTTAGATAAAATAGGAATGCGAGCATTTTCTTCGGGTTGAGGGTTTTCCGAATTTAAAACATGTTTCCCTGGGACTAAACAACTTCTTCTTGCCAAGATTAGCTTTATGTAATTTTTCATCACATCTCATTATCATAAAGCCAGCAGATTCCGCCTAGTTATTATTATTGTTTGACTTCTTGCACTGCGACCAGTCAGATCTGAGCTTATAGCTCTTCCAACCACTCCAAATTCCTGCACGAATGCGAGCATCTTTGTCGGGTTGGGGGGTTTATGCATGCACTCACAAAATGCATTCCCAGGATACCACATCTTTTCCTTGTTAAGATGACACAATCTGCTAGAATGTGATTCCTCGATTTAGTTCGCTACTAAAAATACCTAGTTTGTATTGGTGGCTTCTTAGTCTGCAATGTCCTGTCCTGTTAGTATCCTAAGCTTATACTTTCCCATGGCTATTACTTTCTTAAATCGAAAATGGGCTTGTCTGAGAACTGCTGTCCCTGCCCATCACAATTGTTGCCTGAGTCTATCGTCATTGCTCAGTTTTTTACGTATTGTGTGTCTTCCCATGCCACAAAACTGTTGAGGTTCTGTCTGCTCCCGTGCCCTGTGCCCTATTGCGAAGTACTTTTGACGTAATCTTTCTCCTCCTAAAATGTTTCCGCACATGTTTATATTACATTACATTTCACATTAAAGTCAACTTGAAATGGGCTAATGTGCTTTTCCTAAGGGGAAAGGCCTGTTTTTTTGAGTGATTCACCGCTGCAGCATTTTTATGGTTTGTTGGATTTCATAGTGTTGACCTCATCTAATGACGCCCATTCTCACTACGTAATTTTGCGCAAATACAAATACAGCTGGCAATTCGTGCCTAGCTTGATAAACATGCGTAAAAAATCGCCTACAATTTGCACACTTACTGGACGAGTCCTGTGAATCACCGCTAAAATGTTGATTGGCAATCGGTGGCGTCATGTAAGGCAAATCCTGGCTAGCGGATATCATGCCCGCTATAGCCGAGGCAGCTGGAATTTCCACCTGTGAACTGGACTCATCGTTAAGGTGCTGTGAGGATCCGCTGCTCAGCTGTGAGCCGCGATGCAAGGAATCGGAACACGCAACTTTGCTGCCGCTCGAAGCATTTTTGGTTGTGGCAGCTGCCACTGCCGCTGCCGAACCACCACTAGCAGCAGCTGCAGCAAGTGCATTCGATGTGGACGGTGCATTTAGCTGGGCATACGGATGCTCGGTGGCACGCACCTTGGCATAATCATGCGGCAGACCCTTGACGCGGGAATACGGCGAACTGACATCATCCGCTTGACTGATCGAGCTGTGCTGCGAAACGCTGGCCTGTTTCTTAAGACTCGGTTGAGCTGTGTGTGGAGCAAGAATATGGGTGTGATTAGGTCTTGTTTTAAAGAGGTGCAGTTCAAATTCCAAACAGTCCAACTTGGGGGGCATAAAATGACAGCATGTTTAGATGCAATCATTTGAATTACGTACGACTTTGATTGTGTGCATTTGCCAGCTGCTTGTCCGCCACAGTTTCATACAGTTCGGAGCCATTATCGTTGCTCTCCGCGACGGGAATGTCCGGCAAACTGCGATGTGCCGCCGTGCTCGATCTAACAAACAAATTGCACATTTAATTGAGAACAACAATCGTATATGAGCCGTTTGAAATACCTCTTCTCTGAATCAGCATTTGAGACAGTGGATGCATTGAGTTCCGCCTGTGATTCACTGTTGTGCACCAGACTTGTGTTGGCATTGCCCGCACTTGCATTGTTCGCATTATTGTTGCTCACCACGATGATGTCATCGGGATTCTTTAGCTTCACCATGCCCTCCAGTCCAAGAAAATCATTTCTGTAATATAAATGAATAAATTAAATAAATTGCATGGTTTTTATATACCTTCAAGAGACGTGTGAAGTGTGTGGCAGACTGGGATCTGGGATCATCTTACTATATATGTATTCCTGATAAGCATTCAAAGGCGTTTCCATACAAACAAATTTGAATCATGCATTTTGCTAACCGATGATTAAAACTGTGTCAGCTTTTAAAGCTGATTTAAAGACTCTTAAAGACTTCTCTGCGATCATCTAAATTGTATGTAAATATGTGTTTCAGGTATACATTTGAAGGCATTAATAGATAGCCCAATTCTAAACATCCTTTTTTCTATGTCCCTTTTCAGTTTATGAAAAATGTGTCGGTTTGTAAAGACGCTTCCACTTTCAGCTCTAGTCAGCATATAGCCCCTGCCAAATCGGTTAACTACATCAGCCATAGTCTGCTCTTTCAAGCGCATCTACACTTGGGTGTCGTTGTTTTACGGTTGTTCTTTTAATGTTGTTTTTTTTTTGGCGCGAGTGCATCCAACTGGAACTGCCAGGTGAAAGTTGCAATTGACCAATTTGGCGTCAGACACAGACAGACAGGCAACAATTGGTAGTCACTTTGTGTGGCACAATTTACTTACTTTGGTATTCTTTTCTTGCAGCACAAACAATTGAAGAACATTACAATTAAGGCGAGCGTCAAATTGAGCGTCAAAAGCAGATAAGTGTAAGAAGCCAAGTTGCCAAAATTTGTTGTCTCCACCATGCCTACATCGACTATACATATATATATATAAATATATATTTATATATATGTATTCTTAATAATAGTGTTAATAATTAGCGGCTTCGCCAACTGCATTGCACTCTTGCACAATTTAATAACAAATTGCAATTGTTTTGTGTCGTTTTCTTTTGTATTTTTCACATAGTTTTTGGCTTTTTATTTGCTGCTGCAGTTGTTGCAATGTTATTTACGATTTTTTTCTCTTCACATTTGCCATTCGCCCGGAAAGTGCACACGCAGGCAGCAGCAGCAGCGAATTACTGACAGAGTGGCAACGCTCAGCAATAAAAAGTACACTGCGCAAAATAAACTTCATACGATTTTTTAATTCATTAGTTTTGGTATAAAAAAGGAGTAAATGTTATTTAGTTAGATATAGTTAATTTGTTCATTTTGGCACAATTGGGCAGACTGAGTCTAAAGCTCCGAATGCTTAAATATGGTTTTCTCAATATGCTCCTGAAGTTTTTCCACTTTGCGCGCTTGTTTCTTCAGTTGATCCTCCATATCCTCGAAGCGATTGCTCTTATCCTTGTGCTTCTCATCCTAAAAAAAAATGGGGGAAATTATTATGGATATTTTTAATTGCGATATAAGCCTTGTGCATACCCTATATTTCTCTTTGTGTAAGGCATGCTCGGCATGCAAATGCCTCAATTTGAGCAGACGGCTCTCAAAATGATGCAGCTCCGTTTTAATGGATGCCAATTCCTTGTCCGTAAAATTACTCGATTGGGCGACGCGCCACAAGCCCTGCACCTTCGGCTCAATAAAGTCCTGACTGTGCGGACCCGAGGAAACGAGACGCTCTAGGCGATCATAGTGATCCTTGATGCCCACATGTTGTCCACGCAATGCATTCATATTATTCTCGAAATTCTTCACATTCTGCTGATGGGTATTGATCTCATTCTCATTGGGATCGTTCGTAATGAGATTGTAGCTATCCAAATCCTCAGTGTTGATAGCATCTATATTAATATAGTTATGAGTAATAATTAATATTTATATATAATTAAGCTCGAGTCATTCGAGTCTTACTTTCGTGCGGATTAGTTTCCATCGGACCCAGATTATCGAGCAGACTATAATAAACATCCACCTTATCCTGATGATGATCGAACTCCTGTTTCAACGCCTTCAGCTCATCCGCGGTAAATCCAGAGATTTCCGCTTTTTCCCATAAGCGATTTAGTTTTTGTCCTTGAAGAGACTTTTATTTTTATGCCGCTCCTCGGGATCATGGAATTTCTGTGTTGGAATTTTCAATTACAAACTGTTGCTTGAGTTATTCTGGGGTTAGTTACTTTGTAGGGCTTGGTCTTTTCCTTGTCCTGTGTGTCCTCAAAGTGCTCCAGCAGATCGTAGCTGCTCATTATGCCAATTAATTTCTGGCGCAGCTCATTTTCCTTGAGGCCATCTTTATCCTTATGCTGCGAGTTGAGCTGCTTCCAAGCAATCTCCTCCTTATCGTGGATCTTTAGCTCCATGTACAGCGATTTGATTTTGCTCTCGGTTAGACGCTATAATTGATTATTATTATATTAATATAATTAATAATAATTTGATGGTTTTGTGCTTCGCTTACATTTTGCGCCTTGGCCCAAATCAGATTCAACTTCGCCAGGCGAAAAGGTCGCTGTAAATTCCGAATTTCTGGCTCATATTTCTCGTTGGCGATTTGCTGGTAATGCGGCTCGTTTGTCTCTTTGCTGTACTTCTTGCTATGCTTCTTGTCGGCGTCCACAGTTTGTGTGGCAACCAGCAAAAATGCGATAACAAGTGGCACAATTAATTGACACGTTTTCAACATGTTTCTGCCGCAAAATCTTCTGATCAAATCTTCCAATTTGGTCGGCCGTCCAGTGTTGGATTATGCAAACTGAAAATAACAAAAGAGTTATTGGAGTGAACGGAACTAGTTCTCTTTACTCCCCCTTCCAATTGGAATATATTTAAGCTCACCTTAATAAATTAAAATATCTAAATACCTGCCAATGATTTAATTGATATTGCTTAACACCAACTTTACAAGCTTTCATTTTCTTATCTGTTGTTTTATTGTGCCTCTGCTGCTGTAATTTTTATCGATTTACTTATCGAAATGTATACGGCATTCAAACAAAATCTGTTAAGAATCTGATCAGTTTTTAGTTAATCTATTTTCGAAAATAAATAAAATCTATTAATTCGAGCATATCAAGATAGAAACTATTATTTAATTTATTATACTTAAAAAATTGGATTTTACTTTTCGTTTTCTTACAGTTTTTAATATACAATTTGTGGAAAGCTTAAACCATTTTTCATATAAAAAAATATATAATAAATTAAATTCAATAATTTTTTGTACAAACAAAATTTAAAATAAATTATAATGAATAATTTTGTACGTTGTACATAATAATTGTGTAAATCATTTTTCATATAATAAAAATTTATGAGTTACAATAATTTTTAATTGCACTTTGAAAAAACATGGATTTATTTGTGAATACAAATCACGTCTGTAAATGAAATATATATTTAAACAATGCTTATATTTTACAATATTTCGGTTAATTTATGTATAATTCATTGTTAAGCATTTGAAGACGTATTTAATACTGTTTTATTTAAACGTCTAAGCCCAAGTCCAAATGGGATAGTTGTATTTACAATAATTAAGTTAAGACCGCAGTTAAATATGTATTTTTTTGTTGATAATCGGTAATAGAGAATAATTGCACATCGTATGCCCCTTCGAGCCGATCCTTTAACGAATTGCCTGGGACATGTGTAGAGGCGTCACCATTAGCGTCAATTCCGCATCCTTTAGATTGGCGCCCCTCAAATTGGCCTCTTGCAAATCGCTGCCGGATAAATTGCAACGCTCCAAATCGGCACCGGCCAAAACCGCTGCACGTAAATTACAATTCTTCATATTGGCATTTTTGAGATTCGCCACGCGGAGATTAACACCAGCCATATTGCTGCTCTCCAAGCAGGCACCTTTGAGGTTAACACCCTCCAGATTAGTGCGCACCCCAGTGGGATCCTCAAAATTGCAGCCCCTCAAATTGGCACCCTCCTAAAATGAGTAAAGTTCAATTGAGTAAAGGGTTAGGGATTGAAAGATTAGCGACACACTTACCATATTGGCACAGAGTCCACGCACGGAGACCAGTTGAGCGCATTCCAGATTTGCATATTGAAGATCGGCACGCTCCAAGCAGCAATAGTTGAGATTTGTGTGCGATAAATTGCAACGTGACATGTTGGCATACTAATAAACAAGAGAGATGGAGAGAGATTGGTTATTAAGGGGCTTCCCTTCAATTCTTTACTCGAGCTCACCTTAAAATTAATATTGCGAAAATCCAATTTACGTAAATCTGCACCAGCTAAATTAACGCCCTGAAATCTGAGCTCTGTATTCCCCGACGTCTGTATGATGGCCTTGATCACGTCCATGCGTGTCAGCGGTCTATCGTCCAGTGGCGGCTGCTGTTCGGCGCCCAGCTTCTCCTCCAAGTGGCTGACCAGGGAGTATATGCCAAAGAAACGCGCCTCTTCCAGCACACCCCGCAGGCTGATGTGTTGTTCGCACACGAATTCGCCATGTCGCAGATAATTGATAATTGGCTCAAAATATCTCGCACTGCGATCAATCAAATATGCACCCTGCTCATCCTTCTCGCTGGGCATCATTCCACCGTCCTGGAGAAACATTCGAGCCAACATCGATTCGGGTTCGCGGCCAACGAGTGTGTCGATTGTTGTCGTGTATATTTTGCCGCCCACATTCAGTTTGATCCATTGGTTTGTGGGAAATGTGCGCTGAGTTTCGCATTTTGAATTTTCTTGCCCACCATCGCTTTCCATTTGTTTTTCTTTTGTCAATTTTCGTTTTTTGTTGTTGTGTTTTGCAGCTGCTGCGCAGTTTTGTGTGAATTGCAAAATAATGTGTTGATGTGGCAACGCGCAGCACACTCGATTTTCGATAACAATCGCAAGTCAGCCGATTAGCTTCACTTATATATGCATAAATAACATTAACAATATGACTACGTCTAAAAATCGGTTGACAGCAGCGCCAGTTGTGTTTCACAGACGGCAACAACAATAGACGGCACAAGTTTGCATTTTCCAGTTGCCCACCATCGCTTGCGTTTTGTTTCGTTATTAATTTCCGCCGACTGTCTTGCAGCACCTCTATTTGCTCTGTTTCTGTGTGAATGTCAAAATAATGCGTTGATGTGGCAACGCACAGCACATTTGATTTTCGATAACAATCGGCAATCAGCCGATAAGCTACACATATATATGTGCATAAATAAGAAAAAATTTAGATTCATCTACGGTCAACAAGCGCATACATTTTCAACAACAAACAACAACAATAATAATAATAACAATTGTGTGCATATTGAGCAACCGACAACAATATGACAACGGCCGAAGCCGAACGTCCCGCCAGCAGCAGCGGCAGCAGCTCCTCAACTGTTGCCAACGGGCAACGGGGTGTCAGCCGTGTTCTCGCCAAGCTTTCGCATTCGCTGGCGGAGGGTGAATATTACGAGGCCCACATGATGTATCGAACGCTATATTTTCGATATACGGCTCAAAAGCGATTCGAGGATTGCCTCGATCTGTTGTACGACGGCGCACAGAAATTGATCGAGCGGCAGCAGGAGAGCAGCGCTGCCGATTTATGTCTGCTGCTTGTCGACACACTCGAGAAACGGCCACAAACCGATAATGACACCGATAATTTTCAGTGGATACCCCGATTGGGAGACCTAATACGCGATCTCAGCCCCAGCACAGTAGAACGCGAAACGCTAATTGTGTGTGTTAAATTTTTCCACAATTTTCTAGAGTATTAAAAAATTGAATTTTTTTATGCATTGCAGCATCGAGTTGTAAAGTGGAGCATTGGGGTTCACGGACACTTTGGTCATCCGATGCTGCACAAGCTGATCGCGAATGTCTTCTGGACTGAGGAGAACATTGAGGCAGCCCGTCATCATTATCTGCTCTGCCAGGATGGCAGCCTCTGCGGATATGTCCTGATCATGATCAGTGAGCGAAAGGGTTTCCGTAGCGAAGTGGATTTGTTTGTGGTGCAGGTGGTGCTGCAACAGCTGTCGCTGGAGGATCGGAAATCGGCGGATGATACGTTCAGCGAGTATACCCGCTATCATCCCAAGCTGCTGCGAAATGAGTTCCCCTTCAAGGAACCGTTGCTCAATTTTCTGTACTTTCTATTGCGACTCATCGAGGCGAAGAGTGCGTTGGGTTTCCGGGCGCTGCGCAAACTCTACGATCCATCCCTGAAACGGGACGTATCCTTTAACAAATATCTAACGAAAATTGGGATGATCTATTTTGATGAACAACCGGAACCGGTGCATGCGGGTCCAACTGGGTTGGGTGGCATGTTCGGCGATATATTCAATCATCTGATGCAGGGATTCGAAGATGAGGACGAGGAGCCAAACAGACCACAGCGACAAGGACAACAGCAGCGACTCAATGCTAACAGTGAATTGGATTAACAGCAGCAGCAGGTGGAGGAGGAGGATTAGGAGGAGGCATCAGCATCATCAGCAAAGGGAGTTCATTGATATACAGTTATACACCGGGCTTTCTATATAATGTTATATATATATTTGCTAAAACTAAAACTTTACTAGCAACTGCAATAATACACGAAATCATTTCTATATTTGGGTAAAAGATTTCATCACTTGTGTCACTGTTGCACTATCGTTGCAATTGTTATCGATAGTTACGCAGTTCACAAGCACGCATCACCAGCGGAATGTGTGGTATTTTCTTTGTGTGCCGCATGCGATATATTTGTTAAAGAATCAACAGTTAGTGTTTGCTATATTTATTTAAGCAATGTTTAATTTGTCTCATTTGCAATCATCTGGCAATTGCTGCTGAATTATGAAAACGAAATGTCATCTACAGCAAGCAACGAGTAAACAAATCTGAGTCACGTGCACATCTCTAGTTCACATATATTTTAGTTTCAGAACAAGTTGTATGGGAAAGAAAAGTTGAAGAAAATCCACATTTTAATACTCGTGTCTGCAAAAAGGACAAAAAAATAAATAAATAAATAAACACTGAATTTCTTGATGTGAATGTTGTGATAATTTGCCAGCGAAAATGGATAATGATATATCAACAGCAGCAGCAGCAGCAGCTGTGCCAATGGCAGACGCCTCAACGGAGACGGAGGCAGACATGGATGATATTTCACTAGGCACATCAGCATCCGGCGAATCGTTATCACTAGCAGCAGCAGCAGCAGGATTATCGCACACAGCTGTCGTTGTCGTCGAGGAGCCAACCACAATGCCAACCACATCCAAATCAGCAGCAGATACTGATGCAGCAGCAGCAGCTGCAGCCGCAGCAGCTGCGGATGCGGAACGTTGTTGCTGGATTTGCTTTGCAACGGATGAGGATAACCGTCTGGCGGCATGGGTGCAACCGTGTCAGTGCCGTGGCACCACCAAATGGGTGCATCAGAGCTGCCTCTATCGCTGGATCGATGAGAAGACACAGAAGGGCAACGCTTTGCGTTCCGTTTCCTGCCCACAATGCCAAACGGAATATATTATTGTATTCCCAAAAATGGGTAAATTGGGTGGCGCTCTGGAGGCCATGGATAATCTGGTCAAGCGTTTGAGTCCATTTCTGGCGGCCGGTTTCTTTGTGGGTTCGCTTTACTGGACGGCAGTGACTTATGGTGCTGTCACCTTTCTGCAGGTGAGAATCAACGAGAGGAATCATTTCCATTTTTCCACTTGTCTTTAATATATATATTCGCTTTCCTCACAGATCGTTGGGCATGAGAATGGCATGTCCATTATGGTGGCTGGCGATCCGCTTACGTTGCTCATTGGTCTGCCCGCGATACCAGTTGGCCTGGTATTGGGTCGTCTAATCCGCTGGGAGGATGCCCTCTTGCGTTTGATACGCAATCGTGCCACGGTCATGCGCAAATTTCCCTTTATCAACTTTATTTATCCCAACCTGTAAGCGGAACTCTTAGATATACTTATATTTATATTTATATACGTATTTTGATATATGTGTCTTAATATTTATATTGTTTAAATGCTTCACAGCAATCAGCAGAAGGAGGAGCTGCCGACTTCATCGAATCCGGCTACGCCGGCTTTGTCTGATCCCGTTTCGCCGACACGCATCTTTTGTGGTGCTCTGCTGTTGCCCACAATTTCGTGCATTGTGGGTCGCATTCTGTTTGATTCCGTGGAGAATACGTTGCATCGCACGCTGCTCGGTGGATTGACTTTCATCACGGTCAAGGGCATGCTGAAAATCTATTTGAAACAGAAGCAATATGCGCGCCGCAAGAAGCGTCGCATTGTCGACTATACGGAGGAGAATATACGCAACTTTATGCGTAGCAACAATAACAATGCTGGCGCCGTTGCTACAGCTCGTCAACTTCTGCAACAGCAGCAACAACAGCAAGAGCAGCAGCCACCAGTTTTGGCCATGCCACGTTTGGTGTCCGCTCGGGATCGGGACAGCGTTGTTTAAATCGAACGCTCAATATAAATTGTAATTGATATTATATAAAGCAACTACTTATTATTGTTCAACTAGTTCAGTTTTGATTTAAGTTAATTGTGTTTTTGTAAATCGACGACAACAACAAACAACAGAAGCACATGCCTCAAAATTCCATGTTAAAGAATTTTGAGAAATGTACACGAAAAAATATATTGCAAAAAAATTGGCATCTGCTTGTAGCTTGGCCAAAATTGATGTTAACAATCAAATACGAGAATTATGAAATTTGCACAGTCCCGTTTAGCAATTAACTCTATATATAACACTTGTATGTATGCTTCCACACACACACACACACAATTGAATTTATGTTAACTTTATTGTGAAAACTACTAAACAAATACTTTCGACAAAATTGCCTATGTAAATAAAACCAAAATAAGAAAAACCCCTTGGCAGCGGTTGGGTTTATAATGATGCCAATTGTTAATTCATTATGTGCATTCAGATCAAGTGCGAAATATATATTTATATATATACATACTTACATATACAGTCTTGAAAATAATACTAGCACCACTTCGATATTTTTTCTTACGAATGAAAAAACCAACCGAAATTAATTTTTGCAATTTTTTCAAATGTTGATTTTTAATATATATTAAAATATAATAAACTAAAGTACATACGGCTCCTGGAATTCTTTTCTTTTTCTACCTTGAATGTGAAATTTCCTAAAAGGAAATTTTACAGAAATCGTTTAATTATTTATAATTTGAAAAATTGTGCTTTTCGTTTATCATAAAATGTAATCTTATAATTTTAATTCAATTTTAAAAGGTTCAAGACAGTGAATAAAATCATGTTTTTTCCTTCTCCTAATTCTAAAAACGTATTTTAAAGTACCTTCAACTTTCGAATTTACAAACGACACCTTTTGAAAACATTTCTTGCAATAGTGATGCCATTATTTTTTTTTCGCAGCTGTATGTCTATATATATATATACATATATATATTATATATGTGTATACACTTGTACTGACTTTTGGCCAGATTAGATAAGCTTAACCCCTGCCGCTAGACGCTTGCAGAAAGTGTGAATAATTTCTTTATACAAAAGCAAAGCCGACGAAAGTCTGAGTCATTGAGATAATGAACCCACTCTGATATGCATAGATTTATATATATATATATATGTACACATATGTATATTGGACACTAAAACTGGACTAGAAGGTGCTGCACCATCATCCCAACCATACACACACACATTCACACACACACACAGTCGCACAACAAAAGTAACAGTTAAAGACCCGGACAAAGTGAATGCTCCAAAAAGCGATCTAATCATTTATAATTGTTAGCGAGTCGAGTGTTTGTTTTGTCTATTTGCGCTTATCATCGACAACACACGAGCTGCTGCTGCTGCTGCTTCTAGATGATATCTATCTATCTATATATATATATATATATACATATATAAATACATATATATATATAAATACATATATATTTTAGCACATACAAACTTCTCGGCTTTGACGACTTTTGTAGTGCCTAAGAAAATGTTAAGAAAAAATACATCGCCTTTTAATATAGTTTCGCTTAAATGTTAATTTTTTTTATATTTACCTCTAAAACGTTAACTTTTACATTTGTATTTTGATTTTTAATAATTAATAATGAAAGTTCTATTAAATAGGTTTGCAAAAATACCATATTGTATTACGATAAAAACACTATAATACTTTCACAGCTTGAATAAATTTTGCAATCAGTTGCAAGTATAAATTAATTATTATTATTATTTATCTCTCAAACTGTATTTTTCTTATAGCTAATCTCTTCTTGTAGACCTCAAAAATACTGCAACTCTTTTGTTTATTCCATAACATATTCGTAACTTTTGTTTGGTATGTTTTTATGTGTTTTTTATGTTTTTATTATTATTATTATAATTATTATTGTCTATCCAACTATATTTTTGTGATAGTTGCTCTGTTCTGCTAGACTTCAAAAATAATTTTATTTATTTCATACGTTTTTCTTAAAAGTAAATTTAGCAAATTATAGGGCATTAAGTTTATCTACAAAGTTTCCCCTCCTTAGCATACACACAGCTAAAATTCGCACACTCAACACAGCTAAAGGTGATTTATATACATGTGTGTATGAGTGTTGGTGTGTGCGTGTGTGTGTGTGTGTGTGTGTGTGTGAAGTGAGCCCACCTGTTTGGCTTTTCAGGAGCAATCACACGCTCTTGGCTTGCTTTGCTCGCTTCACGTTCAACAGCAGTTGAAAGATTTCTTGCTGCTTTCTTTTGCTGCCGTCACACCAACAACAACAACAACAACTCCAACGGGTTGCGTTTGTTCTTTGTGACTGAACGCCCCTCCGTTGGGGGGAGGGGCGGCCAAAAAGGGGGGCGCACAGCACGCACACATACATGCAAACTATAACGTAACGAATCGCTGGAGCTGGGAGTCGAGTTGCTTGTCGGCTCCGTTGTTATACCCTTCCACACTGACAGCATATTCATTCTGCCATCTGCTTTGTCATTGATTTCATACATAAATATATGTATTTTTTATAAGCTTCATTCGAGTCGAGTCTTTCTGAGCTCAGTTATTGCATATGGTATTAAGACGTACTTAAATTAAGTTCGAATGACATAAAATCCACTATTATATCAAGTATCTGGTAAAACATGTTCGACCCGAAAAAATCTCAACATAAATTAATGCATACATTTTGAAATACTTTAATATAAATGAACATATGTGAAATAAAATATTTATGCTTATTTCTTTCAATAATAAGTAAACAAACTTATTCTGCGCTCTGCATACAAACAATATATTCAAAATGAGCAAAAAGTCATTTATTTCTTTTTTTGAATTCTTTGAATAATAAGAGCGAATTTATTTTAAGTCTAGATTCATAGGTATTCTCAAAATAAGTAAAAGAAATCTTAAAAAAGTGAATATAGATAACATTCAAAATGAGTAAAAAAAAACAAAATCTTAAAAACAATGAATATTAATTTAAAATCATATAAACTCGTCCACTATTTGGATTAGCTTATTTTAATAATACACTGAGAACATTTATTTCAAGCTCTATTTGAGTCTTGACTTACACAATTTAATCAACAAAGAGGAATATAAATTTTAAAACTCTCTCATATAATATCATTAAATTTTCTCATATCACTTTTAGGTCTGCTCAAGTCTTTATTCAAGCGGGGTAATCAAAATGAGCACAAAAAACCGAAAAAGGAAAGTGATTAAATAAAATCGTTAAATATTTGTGTTAAATTATTTTAAGACTGCTCAAGTCGAGAGTCAAGCTGTAAAAGGTCTTGCATTAAGAACTCAGAAACTTGTTTAATCCTCACTTGAACAACATTAAATTCGAAATACTCACTGAAATAACTTAAACATTAAAATACAAAGAAAAAAATTGGCATATGAACAAAATAATTGACTTAAGTAATTTCAATTATAATAGAATAATTTCTGTGAAAAATTGATTTACTTGTATACCCCGATCATTTAACGATAACTGCAATCGTTTTTCGAATATAGACTCAAATTTACTATATTCCTAGAAATTTTATAAAATCAGATAAGGCAAAACCCATTTTCATGTTGAATAAACTAAGATCAGCAAGCTTACTATTTATTTTGCAGATGGATACAGGGTGTCTGCTAGTCGAGCTCTATATAACATAGCCAACAAAATTATTGTTGATCAGTTGTAGAAATTTTATTAATATTGGATTCGATATTGGGTTCAGGGCACCTGCTACTTTTCTGAAATATAACATTTTAAATGGTTTATTTATTAGTTTATTAGGGTATGCAGTCTTCGTCGTGCTGTTCTTTCTTGTTACAGTTGTTGTTGTTGTGGTAGCTGTTGCTGTTGTTGCCGTTGCCGTTGCTGTTGTTGCTGCTGCTGCTGTTGTTATTGTTGTTGTTGTTGTTGTCGCCGTTGTGTCACTTGTGTGTGAGACTACGGTTAATAACAGCGCTGTGCTTTCAACTCCGCAGTCAGACGGGCACCGGCTAACAACACGCATCGCAGACGCGTCTCTTCGATAACAACAAAACAAAAAATAACAACAAAAAGAAGAAAAAGAAAAAAGCCCAGTAAGGGAAATATAAAAAGAAAACACATAAAACAAGAACAAAAAACACATATGTAGCAACGATAATAAATATATAGTCGGTATCGCTCGGGAGTTGTTCGTTAAACAGCGAAAAATGAACTGAAACTGACTGAAGCTGAATTTTGTTGTCGGATTTCATTATCATTAAGACCATCAAACGTGCAACGCAACCCGGTTGCAGGCAGTTAGTAATCGAAAAGAAGCAACCCAACGGAGATCCTCCCACCAGGGCAAAGATGAGTGCCGCACATGAGCCGACCATCCACTATCTGGACAGCATCCTCAACGAGGAGGAGAAGCGATGCGATCAATATTCGCATCAGTGGCGCAATTTCACAATTTCTCGATCGGGTCGCTTCAGATCGAAGAACAAGAAACGTGATGTGGTCGATGGAAAACTGTTCGACGGCAAGGAGAACGATAAGGTGAGTCTCATTTTTTGTTCCGATTTTGCCAGCTTTCCTAACTCTAACCCAGTTTGCAGTTCACACAATTCTCATTTTCATTTTGGTTATCGCAGCACTTCACAGATAGATTACTATATCAATGACAATATCGCAAGCAATATATTTTATATATATTGTGTCTGGCGTGATTTATATGCGATGTACACCGGGCGGAAAGATAACTTCTAAAATCCAACAATAACAAAATCAATTGCAATAGAGTTTGCCTCTAACTCACAATCTATGTATTTAGTTTCTTCGAGTGCACTCAGCCTTAATCTAGAAACGGGTCTAAAGGGTCTTAACTAGTCTCATTTGGTTCGAAAGTCCAAATGTCAGTTCTTCGTTGTAGTTGTTGTTGTTGTTGTTATTTTTGTTTTGCTTTTCGTATATGAAATAAACAAACAACGAACAATAACAACAACGAAACGAAAGCACAAAACGGAAATGCTCATTAATAAAAAACGGAAGTTGTTTTCAATGGTGATATGAATGAATGCAGTTGCCAGCATAATAAAAAAAGATACTCCATGACGATTGTACAATTTCTGCACTCCTATTTTTAGTATTGAGTGTCAGTTTTCCAGTGAAGTTCAGACATAATCTTGAAACTTGCAGAATTGTGTAAAAATAAACAAGAATCACTTTACAAAAATAAATAAATATACAATTGTGAAATAAATAAAGCCTCTCGACGTTTTCATGTCGTATACGTAATTAAAACAATTAGCAGGATTGGGGCTCTGATTAAGAGCGACGCTTAAAACGGGTTTATGATCTTAAATTTAATGGCTTTAATTATAAATCAAAAACACAAAAATAAACAACAGCGCCTTTTTTTTATATACACCATTATTAAAAAATATAATATCGGCGTATATATAATATATTTTTAGTTTATTTAATTAAATATTGTTTATTTAATAATTCAACTCAATTAATCAGTTAACTTTTGAATGACGTATATTGAATCAGGTTTTTTTTGTCGTCTTACTTTTACTTTTTGAAGATCATCTTCTAGATTTGACAATTTGAATGAAATTTAACTTTAAATTTGAATTGTTGAATTAATATTTGCAATTTCAATATTAATTGTATTCTTGCATTTATGTTTTTAAGATCATGTTCTTGCTATGAGATTTGAGCTCACAACTTTTGCATGTCGATTTTCCATTTTAAAATTAAAAATGTTTAGAATTTTTAGTGGCGCTCTTTCCAATTTTTCTTTTTTAAGATCATGTTCTATATGTGAGATTTGAGCTTATGACTATATTTATAAGATTATCAATTCCGCAATGAAAATTTCTTTAATTAATATTCGCCATTTTGTTTTAAAAAATTTACCTTTCTTTTTTGCTCTGTGTACATTAGTTTGATGCATGGAACTTATAGATTGTGTTATAAAACTAATCCAAGAATCCACCCTGTACTTTTTGCAATGATTTATTTAGAACAGATAAGATTACTAAGGGTACTTATGACTACTATCAAAATCTTGGCCTTGACTGCAATTTTACAGTTTTTGTACTTTTTAGTACCAAAATCTACGCCGCAAATCATTGCGCTTTGTTCAAGTGCACAAAACAAAAAAAAAAAAAAAAATATATAAAGATTAATTATTGTAATTCTTCGTCAAGCAAATTTCTATACGACTTAATAACGACTTATAAAAGGGCAGTATACATATTACAAATAAAACAAGCTGCAGTTGAGCGGAATACTCTGATATCAGTCAATTACCAGCTGATGACAGGTGTCAGGGGGTGGAGCGGTAATGGATGGACTTACCTCGAGCATTGATTATGATTTTTATGACGCTAGTTCTAAAAGTGTAAAAGATATAAACTTGATAGATTATATTTAGGGGGTTGGACGTGGCCTAGAAATTTATTTAGCACTCTTTGCAAGAGCCTATTAGAATCCAACTAAATTTATTAATTATAGTTTTTAAATTTTAGTAGATTTAGGCCTTTTCTCCATACGCTTTAAAATATACATATATTTGTATCTTATCATTTGATCGATTTTCATTAATCGATTTCCTAGTCTACAAGTGCGCTTACCAACTTCATTTGAACCCTTTATCTTATACGATCATAGACTTATATATATTCAACATTAAAGTCTCCAATTTCAAAACTGCGCAAACTCAATATACCCCTCTACCTTCGTTTACTGGGTATTTTAAGGTGCCTTAAAGCGCAGTCAGAAAAAACCAAAAAAAAAAAAAAAAACAGAAAGTGAAATACAAAATAAGCAAGCAAAGTAAACAAAAAACAGAACTCACTCCAAGAAAAAAACATAAGTAAGATCAATGTGTTTTTAATTTAGTATTATGCATATAATATGTGCGTGTATATATATATATATATATATATATACATATATATATGTATGTGTGTGTGTGTAAATGCTGACAAGCGACCGACAAACACACCTTTCTGGAAACTTTATACAACTGTATTTGTTTGGGGCTGCAAGATGAGTAAAGCGACCAAAACTCACCAATATGTCACATAATATGATGGTTTTTTTTAAATATACATATATATATATATATATATATATATGAAACCAGATACATTGCCAAAAAAAAGGGGCGCCATATCAAACAAGAAGAAAAACAACCCGCAAGTTTTTCGGCGGCACGCGAATTTTGTAAATTTGGCAAGCCGGTCAGCAGTGGTAGGGGCAATAACAGACACGTATCCGGGGGGGGGGTATCCGGCGGAGAGATAGGGAGAAGGTGTTGTCGGTGCTGGGCGGCGGTGTTTGCGTGTTTTTCATTACGCAATGCAAATGCATTGACCGATCGATTGTTTGCTTCGTCATTGTCGTCTGTGCATTGAACTTGGGATTGCTTGAATTACACCTGGTGATGAAACGGACATTCCAAATCGGTCAAGCCGAAGAGTTCTACGATATATGATAATGAACGTGTTTGTACTTCGGGTCGTATGAATAATGTTTTTGAATAATTAAGTTGTGCAAGAAGAGAACACAGATCAGAATTAACAAATGTGTTGATTTGTCTGCCTGAACAATTCGAGCGAATTAATAAATTATAGTATATCATAGGCAAGCTTATCAAGTTTATTTCATTTTATTGGCAACTGATCCAGCGAATATCGATACAAATCGATTACCGATAGCAATAATAGACACAGTTGTTGATATGTATACTTCCAACTGATGTAAAGATATTTACTTTAAATCAAATTCGTAAAGAAACCAAAATGAAGTTAATCAACATTTATTTTTATATTAATAAAAAAAACTACAAGGTATTTAACAGGTGTGTTTCAGCCGAGCCCTCTCGACTGGAGCATCCGAACTTGTTTATTTTATCATACTATTAAATTGGGCATATTTAATTTGAACTATGTAAATTAATGTCTGGCTATTTAATGACAACTGTTTAGTTTTAATTTTCTCTTTAACATAAGTGGGCGATATTTTGATAACGATTTTAGAGGAACAATTTTAATGTTATAATTTATTTTATTTCCACTTAATTAAGAAATTCGACCAAAACTCTAAAAACTGAATGAAAATACTTTAAAATTGTCCATGAAACTTTTTCTTTTCATTTTCGTTGCTCTAATTGCAGACAGTAAGATAGATTTGCTGTCCAACAAAAATAGAACAAAGACCCCCTTTTTTTGGTGCTTTATATATTTATTGAAGTGATATGTGCAACAATGATAGCGAAAAGCATGAATTATGGCCAAGGTTTTACCAACGAAACGCACTCAAATAATATTGTATGTGCGTATCTACATATACATACATATACATATACATATATCTATATATATATATACATTTATCAGATATTGCAAAATTTTCTTTGCGTTTTAGTAGCGCAAAAAAATGTAAAACAAAAACAAACCTTATCAACTAACAACAAAAGCGATTCACCAGCACAAAGACAAAGACAAACCTATTTTTCCATAGGGTAAAAAAGCAGACAGGTATACGTACATATATGTACATATGTATATGTATAAATATATATATATATGTATATACTGTATTGGTAAGTGGTTGTGCACGCCTCGGTTGTTGTGTCAAAAAGAAGGAAACAAAGTAGAGCTGTAGAATAATACTTGTATTTACAAACATATATATGAATATTTATTTGGTGCATGTCGATAGCATGGGTTTGATTAAAATCAGGTGCTAAATCAAAAAACTGATTAGTTTTCGAATGTCTTCACATTTGTTATCTGATACGATTTCAGAGTTTTATGTTTTATGTCTTACAATATGTGTAACAGACATATATTAGTCACTTCCGTGGTCATCTATTATTGGTGCTTTACCCTTTTCACAATGTTGAAAAGGTATATTATAGTTAATTATCGAAATAATTATCAAGTCTGCAAGTCCAAAAGCAAATAGTCGGTAAACTCAGAAGAAAAATTCGATCTGAATACTAGAAAGTTTTTGCTGTTCTAAGAAAAAATTGAGAAATATAAGAAAAGAAAATTTCTAAAAATTAGAAAGGCTTTCCCTAAATCGATAATCCCAAAAATTGAGTGTTTTATTTTTTAGAAATATTTTTAATTTTAAAAAATTTCATTTTTAAAAAGTACAAATGCAAACACTCATTTAGAATGAAATTTACTTACTCGACTTTTATATCGGTGTATGGCTGAATGGCAAATTTCTAAAATTCACCGTGATTTTTTTCTGTGTATAATTATACGGTTGGCGATTTGAATGAAAAGTTTGATTCGTTAATCTGTTATTCCAAATGCGGTAAACCAGGTTTTAGTTTATGCCTTTGTTCATAATATATAATTTATACAATATTTAAGTTTTCTAATTAAAACAAGTTAGAATGCTCTATTTGAGAAAGCTCAGACTAGGAGATACCCTGAACCAAATTTTAAGTCTCTTTTGTAGTCTCTGAGATCAGCTTGCATACAGTTCATACAGACGGACAGACGGACATTGCTAGATGGACTCGAGTGTTAATGCCGATTTATAATATATATATTTTATTTGGTGTGAGATACATCCATCTGCCTGTTACTTATTTTTGCAAACCTCTTCATTATACTCCAGTTCCCATTTTTATATTTATAAATATATTTTGTGTTGAGGTTGGTCTTTTTTTTTTGAAGACCTAAATTGGTCTACGGTTCGGTTCGTAGTATTGTTGATATAATCTAGGGTAATTACAAAACAATTTCAATAATGACTTTTACTTATTAGCATATCAGTTAATGGATCGGTTCAGAGCATTGTTGTAGCTGCTAAGTTGAAGTTGTGGATTCAAAAAGATTCGGTTTATGATTTCGGCATATTTTAAAATCATTAATCCCATTTTGAGTTGCAACTAACATTGGAGATTTCAATTTATCTTGCAGATCTCAGCGCGCAATACGACAAGTAGCGCCATGTCCAAGTCCAGCTCCTATGCCACAAGTGCAACATCAAATCCAAGTGCATCGACAGCGCCAACAGCGGGCGCAGGAATTGGGGCAACATCCATGCGAAGTCAACGTGACAACAAAACGGAGAGCTATAAAAGCTGCTACGAAACAAGCTTTTAAATAGTGGGCACATCATCTACAAACTATATACATACAAACTATATAAAAATATATATACGAAATGTATATACGTATGTATATATAGCATATATATACATATATGTATATACATTTGTATTGCGCTTTATTAAATCAACCTAAGAGTTTATTGCACAACGTGTGGACTATAAATATATATATATATATATAAACATATATATAAAAAAAAAACTGCACAAATTGGCAATAAAAGAAAAGGAACCAACAAAAAACACAACTACAACAAATAACACAAGGGAAGACCAATTTTTGGTTTTTTTTTGCGCTGGCTGCTTTGATAAAGTTATTTTGTGTGTTTAGTTATCAGCTATTTAGTATTAGTGGAGAATAAAACAGATTGGGCGCTAGCTTAGGCACTCTCTGAATATATAGAGTATACATATATATATATAAACATATATATATAGATCGATTGTACTTACATATATTTAGTATATAAAGTAAATGTATGAACATTATTATCTCTTTCATGCTTAGATTGTACAAGTATTAAAACGTGATAATTGCACTAAATGGCATATATACACACATATATGCATATTTTTAAATTTACAAATTATATATCGTATATATACATACACACACACATACATACATACACACACATATAATATGTATACATGGCTTAATTTGTAGAAACTAGTAAAAATTTGCAATGCCTAAAACTTATTAATAAAGCATAAGGTTCGATTTTATTCAAACTGCAACTCGAGGGAAACTCATCATGATGATGATGGGGCATCTTCATTGGATGGTGTCACCGCCGGTGCGCGAATATAGCTCACATCCAGCACACAGAATTTGGCCCGACACATGGGACAGGTGCACTTCTGTTCCAGCCACACTTCGCGATCGACATCGCTTTGGCGTGCGGCAAACCATCGCGCCAAACACTCCACACACCACATGGGACGACAATAGCAATTCGAACAGCATGCCTCATCCGTTAGCGGTGCTCCAGCACGATTCACATCGACGCATTGTTTATTAATCTTTATGTTCGGCTCTGCGAGCATGCAGGCAAAACACTTGTCCGTTATCGGCTCTGAACTGAAGATGGGATTTAGTGCGACCTGCGCCTTAAACACATCCACAAAACGATCAATGACACTGCGATGGAATTGTATATTTGAGGGTATGGTTATGGGTCGCCTCACACGATCCTCCAGACTGCGAAACTCCAGCGCATTGATGCGTATATGAAAATCGGCAACATGCTGTCGCATCGGTCGCACTATAATGCTAATCATTTGCAGTGTATCATTCTGGTCGTGCTGTGATATATTGTATGTCTCCGCCTGCAAGAGATAGAGAATTTCGCCAAGATAAACCATGGAGCTGTTTCAATATGCACTTTTTTAAAGGCATTTTTGAGCGGTAAATTTTATAAAAATCTTTACATCTTTATCAAGATTCCTACCTTGGCCACGCTGAGCGCCGTGTTGGCCTGATGTGCAAAATTAACATTGTACATGGTCGTCTTGATGATCCAGTTCTCTGTGGCAATCACTGTGCTGATGGAGTTCAGTTTACGCTTGTAGACATCCTGGCGACGGAATTCGATGCCAATGTCGCTGGCTACGGCACTATAGCTGCCCGGCGTATTTGAGTATTTGGCCAGGGTTTTGTTAATGGGATGTCGTCGCCAATTTTGCTGATGCCAATTAAATATTAAGGCCGGCACAGCCAGCACCGCCAACACGCTAAAGCGTTGTGCCATTTTCCAGGTGAGCGATTTAAAGGCCACGGCTTCTTGGGGCATTGGAAAATCTGGATCCAATTCATTATCCTCGAGTGGCTCCTGTGTGGCAAACACAGAGAACTTGACGCGATGTATGAGGAAATAGGTGACAGGCAGGCAGCTGTGCACGAACAGATTCAACGAGGTGCGTCGCAAATGGTAGCCAACAAAATCGAGATATTCTTCGCCCAGCAATCGCGAGAACAACTGTTCGATTGTGAAGCCGAGTCGCTGAAATTCCTCTGGTGGATAGATGACGCACATGCACAGCAGGAAATAGAATAAATTGAACAGCAGCTCCGACTCGTCCATGTTACGAAAAATTTTGAAAAAAGATTCGACAAAAAAATAAATAATCTAACCCAGTAATAAAACAAGTCCCTGTGCCTGTATTAGAGATGTGCAACAACAAGATTTTTGTTGATGTGTCGCATACGCAGTGTTGCTCGTACTCGTACCATTTTGAGTTATCGATTTAAAAGCGCGCCAAACTCAAATTTATTGTTTGCATTTCACACGGATTCCGTTTCCTTTTGAGGAATCCTTAAATATTGAATAAAATTTAATCTACAAGTTGACATATTATAATCGACATTATATTATTGAATTTGTGTATATTTTGTAAAATGTGGTTTTATACAAAAATTTTTCTTTTTTTTTTTTGTTTGATGCATGTAAAAAACGAAAACCAAGTTGATGAATTCTGTCTTTTTTTCTGCGTGAAAATGAAAATAAAATTTTCATAATGCACACACGTTGTCATGGAAGCAGTGATATGTAAAATTATTAGTTAGTTAACAAACGTTGCGCATATCTTATATACATAACTCAACTAAATAATCAGTATTAGCAATCCACATTCGATTATATATACATATATATATATATATATATATATATATATATATATATATATATATATATATATATATATCAAGTGCCTAACGGAATGTTTTTTTTCTGTTTTGGAAATAAACTAGTGCGTTTTAATGGACGGCTCGATCCTGGTTGCCATTACTGCTGCTGCTGCGGCTGCGGCTGCAGTTCACTTAGATTGGGAATGTTATCAATGTCGTTGGATGCGGAACTGGAATCGTTGGTTAATTCAAAACTATTCTCGCCACTGGTGCCGGTGACAGTTGTCAGACTCGAGTCATTGTTTGATGTTTGATGCTCCGAATTGCTTAGATTTGGCAGTGAAACATCTTCCGCCTCATCGGAGTCAACATCGGAGTCATGGTCATCCTCGTCATCCTCATCCTCATCTTCGTCATTGCTGAAGCTATTTGTGCTGCTGCTGCTGTGATGCTCGCCAGTTCCATTGCCAACAACCAGGCCCGTATTCAAATTTAATGCGCTTATCGCAGGCAAACTATTGTTGCCCACATCCGCAGCTGTTTTTGTTGTCGCAGTTGTTGTTTCGTTGGATGCTCCACTGTTGTTGCTTATCTCGCAGCTGGCATTTTCAATTAGCAGCGTTATCAGCGGCACATTTGGAATTGTTGTTGCTGTCGATGATGTGGTTGCTGCTGTTGCTGTTGCCGTTGTCGTTGCCTCAGGCGGATGCTGCTCCTTAAAGTCACCATTGAGTATGGACAGGTAGGGTATATTTTGTTGCGTTTGCTGCAGTTGCTCGCTGCTCGCATTCAGAATTGATAGCATCGGCATATTGGGCGTATTTGTGGCACCTGAGGCAGAGCTTGCTACAGTTGTTGCTGTCGTTGTTGTTGTTGGCGTTCTTGTTGTTGTTGTTGCAGCTGCATTGCTGGCCGTGGTTTTCAGTTGACGTGAGCTGCGTATACTTCGTGGTGGTGCTACGGGTGGTGGTGTTGCTGCACCTCCACTACCACCACTATTATTTTCCGATTGCTGCGGCACACTTTTGTCCCGTCTCACCATGTGCTTGTCAAAGTAGTCCAGATTCATGCCAGTGCTGCGCACTTGTTCGGCGGCTGCATGCAACGCGGATGTATTCGGCTGATAACTACTGGCGCCATCGTCCACGTCCATCATATCCTCATCGTTCAGATCCTCGCTGCACAGATCGAGGCTTATATGAGCGGCGGGTCCATCGGTGGGGCGATCCGGTTTGGGTTCTAAAATTAAGGTTTCAACTTTAAGTAATCTCTTTTTACATATCAAATAGATTGCACTTGAAAACGAGACATTTTTGATATTAAATTGAATCGAAATTAGCATAAGTATCATTTTTATTGTGAGTCTATATTATTTCCGAAACTAGCATAAAATATGTAAAATTTTTTATTGCAATTCTCTTTTGTTTTATCGTAAATAAATAATAACAATATAAAATTTCACACATTTTCTATACAAAAATATCATATTTAAAAATATTCCCAATTAATAGTTTTCATTAGCGAGCGAGGACTGTACTATTTAAATATAATTCTCGAATATGTTAAATGAACTTTATTTAGATATTACTCTCGAAATTAGCGTCTCTCTTTTTATATATAAATAAATAAAAAAAAAACAAATATATTATAAATAACTAAAAGAAACTGCAATATTAAACATTTAAATTATTCACATTTAATAGTTATCATTAGCGAGTGTACACTGTATTAATTGCATATTATTCTCGAAATGAGGCAACATTTTTTTATCGTCAATAACAAAATACATTAACTATAACGAAATTATGCACATTTAATAGTATCTCATTAGCGAGCGAAGACTGTTATTCAGAATACTCACCATTTAGAAAATGCAATGCCACAAAATCGGCGGCACTATAAATCTCGGCGTGAACCAACAGCTGAAGGAGGACACCCACCGTGGGTCGTTCGTTGAGTTTGCCCGAAGTTTTCCACTCATCGATCATCACCTGGGAGATGCTTTGGCCGGGCGTTAATCGCTCAGCGGTGCCATCGATCAGACTTATTTGTTGTGTGGTATATTTCAAACCCACCTTGCCAGCAATTTCCGCATAATTGAGGCCACCGGGCACGCTACAAGCTTGTGCATCGAGTCGCTTGGGTATAATGGACATTAGTTTGCGCCAACAGCCATTCACATCGAGAATTGTGGCCAATTTGTAGATGTCATTGTCGTCCACCCGTCGCAATTCCGTGCAGCGCGTATATTTTGAATAAATTGGCACAGAATTCACCGTCGCCGTCGTCGTCGCATTGCAGCCAATCCCCGCCCAACCATTTACTTTTGTTGTCATTTCCATTTTGTATTTGTTGTTGCTTTGCTCAATATGTTAGCTTGTTTTTGTTGTTGTTGTGCGTTATAAATGCATTTTATAATTTCGCCTTTGATGCGTTTGTTGCTTCTTTCGTTTTCACTGAATTTTCCAATGAGCCATCATCATTGGTTTCTCCACACACACACACACACATGCATATCCAAATATGCGTATATATGAAATTGCCGATGGAAACAGCTGTTTGAGCTTTCAGTGTTGCTCAGGCTCGCTTTAGCTATCGATAAACAGCAACGTCAGTTATCGATACCGATTTGCATGATAAGCAGTTAGGTTTGAACTAAAAATATTTCAAATTTGGTTTTATTATTATTATAGCTGATAAATGTTTTGTATAATGGACGCAATAATATTAAATACATAATACAAAATTGGGACGAAACCAAAAACTGATAATGGCGTTACATGGATAGACATTACGCTTATGCTACAATTATACAATCGTTCGTTGGTAAATCCAATAGAAAAAACATATATAATCAAATATACATATAAAGTTTTTGTGTGTGTTGTTGTTGTCAATTAATATGCACTACTACTTATCTGTATATAATATATATGTATATATATATAAGGTCACTTGCTTATGTTTTTGTTTTGCATATATGTTCAATTCGCTGAGATTACTTGAGTAAAGACGGAATGTGTTGCTGATTAAAATCTAAACGAGACTTAAGTTTGTGTGTTTTGTGTTGTGTTTGTAAAGCTGTGCGCTCTGCAAACTAACCCGGACGGTTTGTTTGTTTGTTTCTTTTCGATTTACTTATTGCCTAATTAATAGCTGAAATTATGGACTGCTATTCCCTCTAGTTGTTGTTGGCGTTGTTATTGTTGTTATACAAAAATGTGGTGATAAACAACAAGACGCTCATTATCAGCGCCGTATTGATGTTGTGGGCGTGTCGCGTATTTGCCGCATTTCTTGTCGTTTTGCCCATTTGGAAGCGTAGCGTTGGACTGGACATGCGTCCATCGCCGCCATTACTGTAGGCCAGGACACGCATATTGTAGCTCTTGCCGGGCGTCAGTGTATTGATAAACGACTCCAGTTTCTGTCCAATAGGCACTATCGTATTGTTGGCTGTTATCATATTCTGATCGGTCTCCCAAATGCGCACCTGTGAATATTAAATCGATAGCATTAGTTTTTGATATTTTTGTTAAGGCATCATTTTGTTGAAGCCAACCTTATAGCCTTCAATGGGCTCCTCATCCTGCGCTGGCGAAACATATCGCCACACAACGCGCACCGTGGACGGATTTATGCCATAGACATGCACCGATGATGGCGGCTTCTGCGGCGCCTTGCGATATGTGCGCTCTAAAATTGTAGGAAAACAATTAGATTACAATTTACTGATCATAGATTATGCATGTGTTTAGGGCACCTTCAAAACGTTCGCTTTCGGGTCCCTCGCCAGCCGCATTGTAAGCCATAACCTTCACAAAGTAATACGTATCCGGCTGCAGACCCACAATCAACGCCCAGGGGCGTGTCGTACGTGACAGATAGTAAACGGAGTCCTCCTCCTGATGCTCGGTCTTCCAGTACTTTAACTGAAATTACAAAGATCACGGGATTAGTTGAGTTTAGGTAAGATGAGATTTGACCCGTTGTGATTTGGATTCTTCTCAATTTCTTGACACTAGTGAGATCTCGCGCTGTGCTGTGCCATCTCTCACGGAGATTTGCAAAAGCTTCTCCAACGATATCATATAATCATTGTATATATAACTATGCTTGTAATATTTACCCTATGTCCAATGAGTTTGCCACGAATATTCTCGCGCGACATGTCGATGGGACTCCAGGACACATTGAAGCAGGTGGAATTGTAGGCCAGGGCGAATGGTCTTTGTGGCGCCACTTGTGGCATATCCTCCGCCGAGTGTATAACAATCGTTTCGCTCTCCGGTCCCTTGCCAATGCTATTGATGGCCTGCACTTTAACCTCATACTCCGTGTAGTAGTTATTCAGGGGTATATTGACGACTGCCACACCCACATTTTCTTGCTTCTTGATGACATCCGTTGCCCACTCGAGGGCACCTTTGAGCTTCCAGAATACCTTGTAGTGTATGCCATGACTATGCTGCTCCTGCGGCAACAGTGGCTCCCAAGTGATTGTCAAATCACCGATTTTGCCACCACCACCACCCACCTTCCGTGGTGCAATATATGGCTTATCATCGTAGGTGCTGTAAATGGGCGACGGTGTCGATGGGGTGCCAATGCCCAAATCATTGACAGCCGTCACGCTGAACTCGTAGGAGGACCACGGCGTTAGATTGGTCACCTCCGCCTGCTGTCGCGATGTATAACGATCCACTTCACGTGCCTGCACATGCGTGGACACATTCACCCAGGTGCGATTCCAATTGGTGCGTCCTAGTATATTGTAGTAGCGTATTTGACGACCATTGTTGACACCATCGACCCACTCAATGATGGCCTTCGTCTTGCCAATTTCGATCACTTGGACGCCACCAGGAGCACCCGGTGCACCCTCAATAACCACATTCGTCTTCGTGGTTATCTCATTCACAGCGGACTGAACAACGCATTCGTAATCGCCAGCATCACGCATTGTTGTGTTGTGCACCGTCAAACTGTTCCAATCCACAATCTGCAACAATTTCAAGATTTGTTATTATATTTTAATTCATTTATTTCAGGGCAAAAAAGTGGTTAGTTTGAATTAGTTAAGATGAAAAATATTTAACATTTAGTCATTTAACTACAAACATTACACACAGATAAGGAAAGAAGTTCTTTTGCACAGATTCCAAAATGTTCTGGTGAGTTGGATATTGGGGATATCCGTGTTGCAGAATTGAATATAATATAAATCATTTAAATCAAGTGACGGCCCATCGAGCCTGCAATTAACTGAGGAGCTACGACAAAATGATATTGCATTTACAGCAGTTCAAGTAAAAAATATAATAATTATTATATTCATATAATTTATATAATATAACAGAAGGCAGGTGATTAATAATGGACCCAGGTGGCTGCCTTGGGGTATGTAGGAGATAGTAAGGATAGGTTTAGAAAGTAAAGTCTTGAAGATAACTTTTTGTCTGCACTGATTCAGTTACTTAGAAATCCAGGCAAAAAGTTTTGTAGGAGTTCGTGTAAGGATTAGATTAAACAGCAGGCGGCAGTCAAAAGCAGAAATGTGTATGATACTCACAATACGCTGAGTGCCGTCGTGATCGTTGCGCAGAATCTCGCCGTTGTGCTTCCAAACGTAGGCAATGTCCAGCAGCTCATCGTAGGCAGCCTCGCAGTGCAGATAGATAAGATCATGTTCCCGGGAAACGATGCGCTGTGGCGGCGTCTGCACAAAACGAATTTCCTCTGCAAAAAAAAAAAACCAAAGCAAATAGATAAAAATCGAATTGAAATAAAAGTATAGAAAAACTTACGCAGCACAATGACGCGAGCATGGGATTCATCCTGGCCGGCCTGATTGGAGGCAATGCACGAGTACATGCCCTCATCATCGCGAGATGTAGGCGAGATGATGAGCGTGCCGCTGGGCAAAATTCGACGATGTCCACCCGAGCCCAACAATTGCCCATCCTTTTTCCATTGGAATTTGGGACGAGGTGCTGCCTCCGGATTGCAGACAATGGTCGTGTTGCCATTGTAGACGGCATAGATTTCGGATTCGAGTGGATGTTTCTTGAACGATGGCTTCATGGAGAGCACACGCAACTGGGCCGACGAGAAGGATGTCTTGAGCTGATTCTGTGCACCGCACTGATACATGCCCTCATCCTTCTCCCTCTCCAGGAACTTAATGGTTAGCACATTATCCTGGATGACATAGCGATCCCGATTGATGGTCAACGGATCGAGACGCTCGGCATTCTTATACCACGTATAATTCGCATCCGGAATGGAGAAGGCCTCACAAATGAAGGTGACATCGCTATTATAGTCCTTAATCATATCCTTCAACGGTATCGTGAATTCCGGTCTCATTTGTATATTGATATAAATGGATTTCTCGAGCGTCTTCCGGGGATTCGTAATACTACACGTATACTGGCCATTATCATTGGTCGTGGCATTCTTGATGATCAGCACACGGCCATAACTGGTCGTGTACGCATTGCGCTGCAACGGCTGACCCTGACGTGTCCAATTATACGAGGGTATGGGATACCCAAAGGCCATGCACTCCAAACGAATCTCATCGCCGGCAACTGCCGCCTCGGGAAAGACCTTCGGGAAGGTGTTGGCAAAGATCAGCGATTGATAATTGCTATTTGGAGTAACGCGCAGCGGGAAAAACGGTCCATTGCGTCCCGTATCCGAGACGAGAGTTTGAACCGTACACGAATAGTTGGCACGATCCACGGTCTCGATGAAGGAGAAGTACAGGGCGCCATCGTGTGAGACGAACACGCGTTGATCCTCTTCGACGAAATTGGGAAAATAGTCACGAGCCCAATAGTATTTAATGGCCGGATAATGTTGCGGCGGATCACAAAAAATTGACTTGCCCCAATTCATTTCGCTCGTCTCCGCCGAACGCTTCAAATTGAACTCCATAATGAAACCGAAATTTAGATGGGCACTCTCCGAACGAACACGTCCATATTTATTCTCCGCAACGCAATGATAGGCGCCCTGATCGAGGGCCTGCTTGGGCTCATAGATAATCAGATTGCCACCGGAGATGGTATAGCGATCGACGATCAACGGTTCAATTTTGATATATTCGAGCGTATCATTCAAGTAGACCTCGCGATACCATTCGTAGGTGGGCGTTGGATAGCCACCAGCCAAACAGCTCAATGAGACATCGTTGATCAGACGATTCTTGTTCACATCGTAGGTGGTGTCATTCGGTTGCTTGACAAAGTACGGACCACGTGGTATCCGCTCCAGATCACGTATATCGAGGCCATATGTGTAGGGTCGCTTGTCATCGAGCTTAATGTTCACGTTGTCGGGATTGTAGAGTGCCTTGGATTCGCATATAAACAGATTCAATTCAATTTCGTAGGCAGGCATAAACATCCAGCGATCACGCTTCTTGGAGTATGCATAAACCACACGATCCCGATTATAGCCATTGTCGCCATACGGCTGATTGGGACCTAAACAAGGAAATTGAACATAGTACGTTAAAAGGGATTTATTTTATTGAAAAATTTTACACTTACCAAAGTAGCCACGCAAATTGTTTTGATTGCGCTGATTGAGATTATTGGGGCTCGTCTGCGAATTATAGTATTGATTGGGATTATTGAAGTTACGATTATAGTTGGGATTATTGGGATCGTTTTGCACAAGGAAACGATTATCATTGAGATCCTCATTCTCCAGAGCCTGCTGCTCATCGAAGGCGAACGAATCCTCAATTTGCACCAGCTGCGTACTATCATCATTCACCCAGTTCTGTGGACCCGTCTGTCTGGCAGAGATAAAGAAACGATTCTGTCGCTGATTCTGCAAAATGAGATTGGTCAGAATGAAGGCATGCTTGTCCACATTATCCACATTGATCAGATCCGATGTGTATGCTTTGCATATCTTCTTAGCCTCCGCCCAATTTCGCTTTGGGGAGCGTATAAAACGATAGCAAGTCTGACGATATGAGATCCAATGTTCTGGACAAAAGTTATTCTCATCGGTGAAGATGTCGCGATAACCACCCAAGCCAGCATTACTACTGGTCACCGTATTCCGATTGAAGGGATCGTACTGGGGACCCACATTTCCAATACTTCCTGGTCCACCAATTTTAACACCGCTTCCGCCGCCCAACTGGCGATTGTTATCAAAATTATTATAGTTGTTGTAGTTATTCTGATTGTTTGGCTGATTGTTAAAGTCCAGCAGGGGATTCTCGTATTGCGTTGTTTCCGGATTTTGTTGCTGGCCCGTGTAGAGTGGGTTATAGCGTGGCACATAATCTTTGTTGTAGCTGGGCTGATAGGGCTGCGGCTGCTGCAACTGCGGCTGCGATTGCGGTCCCAACTGCTGTTGTCCCAGTTGCTGTTGCATTTGTTGTTGTTGCGCTTGTTGCACTTGCGACTGAGTCGTCGTTGCTAGTAGCAACAATAAGCAGGCAATTAACCTGCTGCTGCTCCTCGTTGACATCGTGGCTTGGTTTAGTTTCATGAGTCGAATTCAATTGGTGAGAAGTGCTCCAGCTGGCGTTGCGTTCAATATTAAAGGCACATTTTTCGGTTTTCAGCAAAATTCGTAGTTTCTAAAAATAAGCATAGCAATTGTTATTATTGTTTATTGGCAATATTGAATTTATGATTTGTAAACATATAAACAAATCCAACCAGATCAGTCAGTTGTGAGTGACGATTAAATCCTGTACAGTGTTAATTCGCTATAAGGAAATTATAATTATAAATAAATAATTATAATGTGCCATATTTTAAATATCAGTTGAGATCAGAGTAACATTCACAAATTTATTGTTGCTTAAATTAATATTTTTAGAATTAATTTCTGAAACACTTTACCTGACATTAATTGTTATATATAACAATAAATATAAGAGACTTAAGAAAATTTGAATCATCAATTCTAAGCGAAGTTTTCCAATTAGAGTCCACTGTATGCATTAGTAATCACACACACACACATACAATCACGCAATTATGCGTCTGTGTGTGTTAGGCGTGGCTTGTAGTTTGTTTAATTACAAAACAATTAATTAAACAAATCAATTTCATACAAAACTAACAGACTAAAGCCGTTATATATTAATTCAATATATTCTTAAGCACTTGCTGTTTGGATTAAACACGTTTTAGAATTGAAAAAGCCGCCGCCCAATTTGAGAAAAGCTGCGCTTAGTCAACAAAACAACCAAAAAAACCACACCTTAAAAAATTTCGAGCCAACAATTTGTGGGCCACGAATGTCACTTGTCGCACTCAACTGATTAATAACGTATGCTGCGCTTAAAGTGTAGTTTCACTAACCAGTTGTGCATAAATTAAGCAGTAAACACTTGAAAATGATATGTGAATTAAAAGAAAAACAAAAACTAGGCACAATTCCAACAAAAAGTGGCAGTTAGATATGCGCAAGCCACGATTTACAAAGCCGATAGCCGATTACAATTGCATGCAACTTGTGCGGCAGGGTTGCCAGCATATTGCAAGTGCACTCATGCTGGTATGACACCTAATGAGAATTTAATCAAATGGTGTTGTGTAAAATAAATAAATTGCGATATATCAATAAATTTTGATAATAATAGTTACAGTTGGCATATGTTATTATAATTTCCAAATTATTTTAGTCACTTTTTTTCAATTGAAGTGCAACTGATCGCTGCTACTTAACATATTCGATATATATGCTCGCGACTTATCGATATATCAATAGAGTGGCAACAACAAAGTGATTCGTGTACTTATCGAATTTCATGCGAGTGGTGATGTGTAATAAACCAAAAGTTTTGTTCACATTTTAAACAAAAATAAAAACACACAACAACGATGAACTACAATCCAAATGCGGGTATGCGGAATCGTAAGTGGGAGAATTGTAAGGAACCAAGCTACGGCCAACGCAAGTATTCTCAGCCTAAAAAAGAAAAAATGCCACACAAAAAATGCAAAATGCTGCTGAGAAAAACTCAGAAACGCCGACAATTTATTAAATATTGTTGCCTTTACTTAAGTTAATTATGTGTTTATTTGTTTTGAGCATTTGTTTGTTAGTTTTCTATTTACTTTTCATTCGTTTGCTTTATTTAGTTTGTTTACTGCGTGTGTTTGTAGCTTGATTTTTGGCACTTTTCACTCACTTTTTTAGCTTGCTGCCAGCCACAATAAAAATTTGTCTCTGATTTTTTTAAATAAATAAAGCAGCAGCCAGCGGACGCGCTCGTCCTGCCAAACGGGTCAGCGATTTAAATGCCATGGGTCCACCCAGCGATGGCGGCGCCGGCGGTGGCTCTGCATTTATGCAGCCGTCTGCAGGACCAACAATGTTTGATCCCAATTTGTACTCGGCACCACAGCAACCACAGCAGCAGCAGCAACCACAACAGTTGAACAACAATTATGGCTACAATGCAGCACCACAAAATTATGGCTATGCAACAGCACCACAACAGCAACCACCACAAGGACATAATTCTTATGCTGCACCACAGCAGCCGCCTCCATTTGGAGCTCCTCCTGGTGCTGCTCCCCCTGGTGTACCACCAGCATCCGGCGCCACAGCTCAATATCCACAATTTGCCATGTTTCAGCAGCCAATGGTGCAGGACATGGCCATGGAGTATGGTCAACGTTTGGCGGATCAGGGCAAACAGCTGGTGGAGAATCAATTTGAGAAATGGGTGCCAGTTGCCAAATTGAAATACTATTTTGCCGTGGATAATGCGTATGTGGGTCGCAAGCTGCGCCTCCTCTTCTTTCCCTACATACACAAGGTGAGCAAGGACCAATGGATCTGAAGACAATAACGTTTTAGTTTATTTTAATATGGATTTCTTTGGATTTTGGTCGACTAACGTTTTGTTTAGCAAATTTATCTGATTTTCATCATTACAGAGAAATGTATCATTTTTTTCGCACCCTCTGATCCGTTCCACTTTTTATATTCTAACAAAAATGAATGTTTTATGTTCTGATGAATCCAAAACTGGTTATGTTGACTGAATTTCTTGACAGTACCACATAATCTGTTTCAGTCTACATATCTTAACCCGATTAAGAATTTAGAATTTATTGTTTAGAACCACATTTCTCTAGAAATAGCCCAAAAATTTGGTGAACCATCTTCATGTGACGGTTATTCCTAATATATATTTCTAATACATCCCCACACATCATATCTACTTTTTAGACATATCATTAAAGCTATGAAGTCATCACCACTATTCCATCGCCATTATTTTGAGCGGCTCATTCGTAATCACTTTAAAACCATTCATTTATTTTGTTAGTATTTTTATAGCTATTCCAACTCTTAATGTTTACTTATCTTCAGTATTGATTGCTTGTATTCAAATCAATTTTTCATAATTTCTTAACTATATTTGAAGTAGTTTTCTTAACATTGTATATCATTATTTGCATTTTACAGGACTGGTCGCTGAAGTACGATCAGGAGCATCCGGTGCAGCCGCGTTATGATATTAATGCGCCCGATTTGTATCTGCCAACGATGGGCTATATAACGTATGTAATTGTTGCTGGACTGTTGTTGGGCATGCAGAATCGTTTCTCGCCGGAACAGTTGGGCATTCAGGCGTCCAGTGCGATGGCTTATAGCATTTTTGAGCTTGTCATCTATTCGATATCGTTGTATGTGATGAATGTGAAGACGAGCCTGAAAACATTGGATCTCCTGGCATTTACGGGTTATAAATATGTGAATATTGTTGTCTGTCTGTTGATCAGCACGCTCTTCTTTCGCTCCGGCTATTTTATGGCCCTCGCCTATACCAGTTTCTCATTTGGTTTCTTTCTGGTGAGCTCAACTATATATTTTGATTTGTTGAAATTTAAATTTGATTTATAAATTTGTGCATTTTTCAGTTGCGCACGCTGCGAACCAAGTTGTTGCAGGACAACACTCCGACGGCGCCCAGCGGTGCCATCAATTATGATCCCTATGGCAATCCGCAGCAATTTGATTACAGCGGTGGACGGAAGCGTAAATTGTATTTCCTATTCATTGTGGTTGCCGGACAGGTGCTGTTTGCGTATCTGCTGTCCAAGCATCTTTATCTGCCCAGCACGGATCCGTTGGACACGCTAAAAGCGCTCTAATTAAATGTTTAGCATAATTTCTCTTTTCGTATAACTCTCATTTGAATTAACCGGGCAATGATATAATGAACACACACATGTCTGCACATAAATCTATATATATATAAATAACATACATATATATATTAATTGCTATGTGTGTGTGTCTAGTATATACTCTCAAAATCAATGTGTTTAAATGTTTCCAATGCCAATGCAAAAATCATTTCCAAAATGTTAAATCTTCTACATAGTCTATATGGTTAGAAGACTAAAAGTTACTTAAGAGTTAGCGAACATTCAATTTTTGAGATTTGCCGATGTGAATGCATATGAAAAAACATATTTTTGTTAACAAACAAATTAACACAATTTTATAAATAAACCATGATAAAATAATGAAAGAAAATTATAGACTATTGATCTAGAATATTTGATTTAGGCGAATTAACGCTTCGATTATATAGGAGTTAAACGTCTTCGACCCAATGGATATAATTCTTAATCAACAAGCCAAGTCGATATAGCTGTCTGTGCCTATCTATCAAAACAAGTCCCTCAGTTTTGGCACATATCTGTCGTAGTCAGCCGGATCTGACCACTATATCCTATAGCTGTTATAAGAACAATCGGTCCTAAGATAAGTTCTTGTACGAAAAATGTTTTTGTTTATTAATATATCGATGTTAATCCTACCAGTTATGCATGTTAAAATACCCAAAACACTTATGCAAGAATGTCTACATTAACAGACTACGAGATCCTATAGCCATATTGAAATTTAAGCCTAATTTATGACAAGTCTGCTGTCTGCTCCACAAATCAGCCAATGCAAAATATAAAAAAACAATGTTTGTTTTCATTGAATTTTTGTTTTTATATATAGTATATATAGTTTTTATTGAAATTTTTAGTCTTCATTACTGTAACGTGTTGTTGTTTGTTTGTAGGTTGGTTGGTTGGTTGATTCTTTGTTTTGCTTTTTATTTTATTTGATCTCAATATTGCCTCGATTTCTGCCTGACTTAAGGGATACGTTTTGCTTTTTCTTTTTCTTTTGGTTTGGTTTTTTCGTTTTCTATATGTTTTTATTGATCTTGTTGGAAATTTGTCACTAGTTTACACACGCGCAACGAATTTTGCATTTTATAAAATATATAGGCCTGTATGAAATATTTGTAATTTGGTTTTGTTTTGTTTGCATTTTAGTCTAATTTGTTTTTTGGGTGTGTTTATGTTTAATGTGTAATTTATTTGTATTTTATTTATTATGTGTGGCTGACTTTGCACTCGAATAGCGGTGAAAAATAATTATAATTATGATAATCATTGTAACGATAACAATTTCCTACAATTAGGTTTTTAGTTTTCGTTTTTTTTTTCTTTCGTGTTTTGCATTCGCATTTGCTTTTCTCATTTCTCATTTTTCATTTTTTATGTTTCACTTTTCGTTTTTATTTTTCCATTTATTTAGTAAGTAATGCAGACTAATAATTAGTTTTCATATAGTATAAGTAGTTCGTTAGTTGTTGGGGCCTCAATTGCAACTCAGTACCATTAGCACAAATGTGAAAAAGTTTTGCATACAAATTTCGCTAGCTTAGCTTTTGTTATTGGGTGTTCTTTTTTTGTTTTTGTTTTTTAAAGTTGACTAATGCAAAGTGTGTGTGTTGTTTTTGTTGTGTGTTGTTGTTTGCAGTTGTGTTGTGTGTGTATTTTATTGTTAAATGTGTGTATTGTGTATTATGCTAGCGCTTAGTAAATAGTTATAAACATGCTTTGCTTTGTTTTTAACAAATTCCACGTATTAAAAATAATACATTTACAACTAATAATAATAATCCAAATTTAAATATATAAATATATGTGTATATATAGATCAAATACTATATATGCATGTATATTGTATTCATATAAAGGTTTTGTTTCGCTTTTGTTCTGTTGCCTGCTGTTTTTTTATTTTTTATTTTTTATTTTTTTGCATATCTTTATATAAATTGTAGTTATGTTTTACACAACTATATCTCGTATATTTTTATTATTATGAATATTTCAAGTGTTTATTCAAAGAAAACGAAATATTTGCAACAAAACATGGTTTACAAAAAAAAAAATAAAAATAATAATTAAAGAATTAAAAACTCTGCCTATGTTTGGAAATACATAATTTGAAATCAATCGCTAGCTCTAACCTAAATCACCTACTGCGCCCATCGCCGTCACATCTGCATCTGCATCTGCATCCGCCTCCTGCTGCTACATCTGCTGCTGCTTGACAAGATTACGCTGATAGTTGACCGCATTCATTTTACCGAACTATATTACCGTGCCGCCCGGCGGGGGCGCTACTGCTTGGCTCGGCGACGACAAGTGCTGTGCAACGTGCTGTGTGAAAAACCAAGAGAATATTTATTAAAATATGTTGATTAAAATTATTCTTGACGAGAAAATCCGACTAGCGATAAGTATATAGAGTTTCTAATTGCCTAGAAATACATTTGTAGATACAAAAAGTTCATGTAGAATAAATATCAGCTAAATATGCATGATTCGTTCTGGCAATAAATACTTAATTTGCTCATCTAAAATATATATTAAATATCGATCGGGAAAATAGGAACATGATACCTAAATATTTACACTATAACTACATACTATACTATATAGGACTAATCTATATTGATCATAGTTTTGTAGACTAGTCATTGCCTTACCGTTGTGTGTCCCGGCCTCGCCCATGTGTAGATGAACCCATCCTGGCATGCGGTCAAAAAACAATCCTCGCGAAATATCAACGCCGTTAGCCGCTCATGGGCGATCTTCTTGCAGATGAGCGGCTCAAGAAGCGGACACTCTTCGAAACGTGGACACGCCGGTGTGCCAATTAGTTTCATGGGATCATAGCTGCCGCAACTGGATGACGACGATTGCGCTGCGTTTGCCAGCGAAGAGTTATGCGACGATTTGCTCAATTTGAGCGAACCAAAGCTATGCGATGTGGCACTGCTGCCAATGGCACCACCAGGCGGCTCACCCAACGCCGTCGAATTGGCGAAATTTGTGGAGCTGCTGTTGTTGCTGCCACTGCTCCGATTGTTGTTGTGATGATGATTGTGGTTGCTGCTGCTGTTGCTGTTGTGATTATTGTGTTGATTATAATTCTTTAGCATGCTGATGGCCTTGCGATGCTGTCGATGATTCGATGTGCCCTCGTAACCACGCTTATCGGAGTTGCTCAGGAAACTGAAATTGGACAGACGCTGGGTGAGACTGTTGAAGGCGCTGAAGCTGCTGCTGCTGTTGCTGTGGTTGCTACTGTTGCTCCCGGCGGCTGTGTTCGATTTGGTCGAGCTATTGGAATTCTTGCTATTATAGCCAGATGTGGAGTAATTGGAATTTGAATTGTTGCTCATACGCTGACCACTATTGCTATCGATGCTATCCGATTTGGTGGCACTGATGCAATTGGGAAATTTGATCGAGTTGCTGTTGCCGCGACTAGTCGCTTTCGATGCCACTGCGGGTGGCGCCGCCGCTGCCATCGCTGCTGTTGGGTTCGTTGTTAGGGGCAACGGTTCTGTGCCGTCACAGGAATCATCTGGCGGCGTATTGGCATTGGATGATTGCGAGGATATTGTGCAGTTGGCCGTTGAGAATTTACTTGAACTGCTATTGCTATGCTGCTCTGCCATTGGAACATTTGTTGTTTCTCGGATGGGACTGCAACTGCCCGAATTATCGGCAAATTGTCCGCCCACCTGACCGATGGCAATCGGTCGTATCACTTTGATGCCATCAGCGGCATCGATGCCGCCATTCATAAAACCACCAACACCACCACCACCACTAACGCCGCCACTGTTGCTCTCGTTTAGCTGTGTGCTATTCACACGCTGTCGCAACGTTGTCAACGGATGACGGAGCACATCTTCCGTAATGTCCCACAAACAGATTTGCGTATCCTGACTAACCGAACCCAAGCGATAACTAATGGCCAGTTTATCCGGCGCCAGCGCCGCCGACGATGCATCCGAGCGAAATGATGCCGAATGCGGATGCATTCGTGTCGTATGCAATGACAACGGCGTGGAATTCTTATCGTAACCTTCGAAGCCACCATTCGCCGTAGAATCGCCAGAGAAGCGTTCTTCACGGGTCGCCGTATATTCATTCAATTGATTCTCATCGTCACTGAAATCACCGCCATCCCAATTCGTGTATGATGTTGTATATGGGTCAAAGGCCACCACGGAGACCCAGGAACGATGACCCTGACCACGGGCGACGACACGACGTTCGTGGAGGGACCACACCGTGACGAGATCATCCTCGCCGCCAACGACAATGTATTTGCCATCGGGTGACCAGCAGACGCATAGGAAACCACCAAAATAGGAACGTGCAATGCCCAACAGCTCCATGGTGTCATAGTGAAAGACACGCAGGAAGCCATCCTGTGAGACGAGCGCCAAATTTGTGCCGCACGGCGAAAAGCACAGCTCATTGATGCAACAATTGTCGGTGCTGAAGACCCATTTGTATAGCGGATTCCTTGTTGATTTGGACTTGCAGGTGAGTATCGTATAGCCGTCGCCCACTTTAAATGGCTGATAGCTGGGCGCTGTTGCCGCACACGGCAACTCCTCGTTATACAAATACAGATGGCCCGACGAATGCGAGGCGAGAAACAGATGCGGCGAATTCGGCAGCCATTTCAAACATGTCACTTTGGTCTTGTCAATCAGGCGCTACAAATTGGAACAATTTATTAACATATATAATTTAATATATATTGTAGTTTATAGAAACAGACTTTACATTAAAATGCAGAGCGATTGTTTTTCTGAGTGTATAAATTTGCAATATTTACCTCCTCGTTGAACAGTTTACGCAGCTCGCGTGGACCTTGTTGTGGTGAAACCAGCTGGATTTGACCCGTTGTGAAACCAACCAGGAGCGGTGCTCCCGTGGGCGTGGCTGCATTCGCATTGAAATCGTGACAGCTGGGATTCGTGCCCTTGTAGAACTTTTTATCGATGGGTTTGCTCATCTCGGTGCCCTGCAAAAATCACAAGTATATTTATAATATTTATTTATAATCAAGTTTGACTTAGTTTAACGAGTCATAATTTATATATTTTAATAATCATTTGTGGCTGAACAATAAACAAGCTCATTATTGCAAGTTGCTAGTTGCTATATGAGAAACAGACCTCAGGAAGCATTTTCAATATATATTATTTCAATACTCCAATATATCTCGAAACCCGCCAGAAAAACATTTAAGGTATCCGCGAAGGTTTATAGATTGTACTAGGCGATTTTATATTTGCCCAATTATTTAATCGACAATAAGTTGGAGAATACTACAATTTGAATTTGCTATTTCATTTTGTAGTAAAAATTTTCACAAGATCTGATTGATTTGACGTAATCTTTGCCAAATAAATTTGTTCATCTGCTGCAAACGATTCTTAAGGGTATTGGTTAAAAGGTTTTCTATATAAAACTGCATCATAAGTTTCCTAGATAACACAGTCACTTTACTTAAAATCAATATTAGTCACACAGAGTCATCATTTCTGGAGACTTTTTCTATAGAATTACGCATCGAACAAGCTATTTGTGTTTTCTTTTAGATTGGAGGGTATACAAATTAGCACCCGTTGAGCAAATTAGCGGCTTGTTCATGATTTAACGTTGAGCAACTGATGCGACGACCGATTCCTATTTTAGATGCCTCATCAAATGCAAGTTTTATGTATTTGTGTGCAACTTAAAACAAAGCAAATTGCATAAAACTGCAGCGAAAATACTAAGGAAATCGCAACAGCTGCTATGGCAAATAAAAGCAAAGAGAAAATTTAATTGGTATACAGCTTTGAAACAGTTTAAATTTTACTTTAACTAGGAATCCCCGAGACTCAACCATAAGCGCTAGGAATATGAAAACTTCTTCGTGGTTTACTTTAAGGAAAAGTTTTTAAATTAGAAAAAAAATTGGTTGCATGAAACTTTTCATACCCAGAATCTACAAAAAATGGTTCAAAAGGGTATCATAACAGACAGAAAGAAGCATTTCTGAATACATAAAGAATATACAGTTTGGTAAAGGATAAAAAGGCAATCCATGCCCGTCTTTTTGTCCATAGATATAGGAGCTAGTCCCATTTGGGATCATATAACATAGGCATATCTAGTTTTCTCTTTTTATCGATAACTGTGCCTGTTTTGCGAATATCGATACAAATCGATTTTTAAAGGCAATAAAAAAAAAAAACAATTGTAAAAGATTTAAAAATTTCATTATGTTCAAAACTGATTTTGTTAACAAAAATCTATTTTATTTTCTTTATCAAATTAGCAAGCATAATATGCATTTAACAAGTGGGTGCAGGGTATTTCCTAAACGAGCTCTCCCAACTAAAGCATCCTTGCTTTAATTTTCACAAAATTCGTAGAAGACTATTTTTTTTTGGACTTCACAAAATATTTTCTTGGAATATGGGGCAGAAAGTTGGGACACACATTGAACTAATTGAAAAAAAAAAGTGTACCGATGGGCAGAATAATCCTGTTATTCATAGAGTAAATATATATTATAAAATATACTTTAAGCAAATAATTATGTATACTTATAAAATAATAATTATCACAAAACATATAAATTAAAATAAGCAAATCTAATTTAAAATCATTTTAGCCTAATTAATGCAAATACTCCAATTTAGGAAAAAAGAGTATTTAAGCGAAAATCGCACAAGTTCGGATGTATTGCATTGAAATAAAGTTGCCTTCGAGCTTAATAAACACATTTAAATAAAAGCTAAGCAAGCGAATTGATCAACAACAAAAACAATAATAGCAATAACAACAACTAAATAATAGCAACAACTGTCCAGAGAGAGAGAGAATTGGAACAAATTATGCGATTGTGTTTGGGCAGCGTTTTTATGTTTGCCATGTGTGCCATGGGTAAACTCGATACATTGACGAGGGGGCGGTGGAGGATGGGAAGGGAAGAATAGCGGGGACTAAGCGTAGAAGCAATACTTAGGGGAGGCCTATACACTGAGAAATAATAATAGTTACTTTAATCAGTGAAAAATGTTAGACCCGAAAATGAAATCTTTTTATTGATATGTATATTACTTAAAGGAAGAAGAGTATTACTTGAAGCAAGATATTAAGCACAGAAATTAATTAAACAAGATGTTTAATTGTTATGTGAAGCAGATTACCAAATCGTTAATCGAAATTAAGAGTTTAAAATTCAGAAACAGATTGCCAGATTTGAAATTCTAAGAATCGAATTCAGCTAAAATTAAGCACTTTTTCTTTAAGAACTGTACTTAATTAACAATATCCTGAGAACAAATTGCAATTAAAAGGTGAAGAACAAATCGCTAGGAAACAGAAACATTAACTGAAATTAAAGCACAGAAATAGATTATCAGATTTTAAGTATTTAATTTCTGAAGTCAATACTGATAGCAACTTAAAAATGAATTCAGCTCAAAGGGAGTACTTAATTTCTTTAAGAACTATACTTAGTCAAGAACGAAGATTCACAAATTTGAAGTATTTAATAAAATCAAATCTAGTTCAGTTTTCCATTTAACTAAACGGTGATTATTCCAGAATATGCCGAGAACAATTCTACTTGAAATTTGAATCGTTTAATATTCAGAGTTATATGTGAAATGTAGTGCAATTTTTTCGGCAAGTGTAGCCTAACTAAGCAACCAATTGTTGCAATGGGGGGCGTGGCGACGGGTGCTGACGAGCCGAAGGGGTTGTATTACATGACTGAGAGGAAATGCGCTTGCTTTGCTCGCTTATCAGCTGGCCGCACACAATAGATGATAAGCTTGGCAAGATCTACAACTGTATATTTATACATATATATCTATATACCATGTCACCTTGGGTGTGTGAGAGAGATAGGGAGATGTAGATAGATAAATGAAATTATGCAAATTTTGACAAGTTGATAATATATATGCTGCTCACCTTTTTAACGCCGCGAAATGCATAAACATAAAGATCGCGTCCAAAATTGAAACAGATGCGATCACCGCCAACAATCTGTTGATTTGTGGGCAAACCATTTTGATCCAAGACGCAGCCACCGTTTGTCATCGAGTGCATCGAGATGCCGCCGCCCAAGCGGGCGTCCACTGTGCTGCTACCGTTGTAATTGCTATCGCCACTGGCGCCGTTAGAAGTTGTAGCAGATGCTGTTGTTGTTGCAGCTGCTGCAGCAGTTGTTGGTGTTGCAGGTGTTGTTGTTGTTGCGCCATTTGATTGTTTATCACTCGTCGTTGTTGTTGTTGTTGCCGGCGTTGCCAGATCGCTGTTAGTGTTGTTTTTATTTGGATTTGGCAGCGTCACAAATGAGACACGCACCTGAGGCGAACTTTGATTGTTGCTATAACCGACACGATTTGGACGCGAATATTCCGATAAGGTGAGCAAACGATAGGTGCCCTCGCGCGTTACAAATTGCGTTTTCAGATCGTCCTTGACATTGCCATCCAGTTGATTGGCCATTACGTAGGCGTCTTCTTCTTCTTACTCCTCTTACGCTTCTTACTCTCTCACTCTTTCTCTCCTGCTGTTGCTTCTTCTTTAGCTGCTACTGCTTCCTCTTCTTCAGCTGCTGCTGCTTCCTCTTCTTTAGCTGCTGCTTCTTTCTCTTCTTCAGCTGCCGCTTCTTCTTCTTCAGCTGCTGCTTCTTCTTCTTTAGCTCTTTCTCTTCGTTTTATCTGTGTGTGTGTGTTGTAATTTAGTTACATACGCCGCTATTTGTTGTTGCTTGCATCACACACACACACAGAGCCACACGCACACACACACAGCACCTCAACCCATGCCGCGCACCTACACACTGACACACGCACACACTAACACACACACGGACACAAGTGTTTAGGCTACCTGCCGCTTAAAAATCGTTAAATTTCCGTTTCTCTTTTTTTTTGTTTATTGTTGTTGCTGTGCGTTTGCTCTTAATGCTTGCGCGTTTGCTTGTTATAATTAGATTTAATTCTTCACTGCACAATTTACAAATTGCTCTGTGTGTGTCGTCGTCGTTGTTGTTGTTGCGGAATTTTTATTTTTCTCTTGCTTTGCCACTAACGTTTTATCGATAGACGATTGTTGCGAGCGCAGCTCACTTCAAGCATCAGCGCACCAGATGTTTTGCCTTGCAGCCCTGTTTTAAATGCGATGTCTGGCAGCATGAGCGGTTTGTTTATATTGCTTAAAATTGATCTGGCAACTTGACTGCAACGTCGACTTTGATTTGAAATTGGGCGCAATATTTTAAATTTAATTACATTTCAGTTAGTTGCTGTGCTGACACAGCAACATTCAACATGTAAGATATAAACTAGAAATTCCTTTCTAAGTGACATGTTTTTCAGTCCGAGTTAGGAATGTGACTGCTTTTATGGCCGTCGACTGAAATGCATTTCACATGTCTGGCCAAATTGGCCAAAGGCAATCTTTTGTTTCAGTTGCCTGTCTTTTTGCGCTATTCGCTGCTATTCGCTACAAATGAAGTCACTGTTAAGATTTGTTGTTTTCTACATTTTCGGACACATCTCTTCTTTGCTGTTCGCAGGAATTTTTAGTGTTGGCTTTGGGAAACTTTCCCTCTGACAGTTGCTGCTTCTGAAATTCTATTTCAACTTGACCATGAGTGGCATGCAATTTTCTAGACGAACGTAAAGTAATTTGTAAAAAAATATAACACAAAATGTCCGATGAAATATATTAAATTCACTTGGATTTCGTATAAAAATAGTTACGCATTTCAAACACTGTCTTCGGCTTTGTATAAATTTTGGCTTTAAAATTTTGCGATCTGGCAACACACTAGAATTCAAAAATATAATAAAAGTAATGAGCAGCAAAATCAGTTCAATCCAATTTCAAGCTAAGCACAATTTACAAGTATGTGTGTGGTGTGTGTGTGTGTGCCATGGAATGGATTTGTCTTGTCCAACTGAATTGGATAAGGGCAACGATTTTCTGTCTTTTTGTTTGCTTCAAATGCAGTTTCTCGCATTCCTCGCAGCTAACCGTTTTAAAAGCGATTTTTTGTAGTTGTGTGCTTGTTGTTGCCGCTGCTGTTGCTGTCATTTCAGCCATTGCGGCATGCGTGAGTGGCATGCAACAAGCATACATATGTACATACATATATATGTGTAAATACATATGCTGCACTTGGTTGCTGGCGGGGATTATCAACTAATTTGTTGTGGGATTTACGAAGTGAAATCAAGATAGAACCCGGTAAACAATAAAATACCCTAGCGGAACATATGTATTTTTATTTAACCGAACCGGAGACAGAATGTTCTGGTTGTTACATCTCGACTAAAAGATACCCAGCAAACAGCTTTTAAATTAATAATTTTAAGTAATTTTTTTTTGCTCTAAATGCTGAGATTAACTATTTCATGCAGACGACTAAATCGGATTTTCTGTTAATCCTGATCAACAACATATATACTTCTAATCTAAGATGCTTCATTCTGCCTGTATCATACTTCTCAACAACTGTATCATACCCATTTTTAGCTCCGTTTGAATGGGTTCAGGGCACTCGAAGAAATGGCGACATTGGGTCAGCTCTTGAAAGATATCAATAGGAGGAGTGTGTCTTTATTTATGTTTGTCTATATAGAAGAATAAGTGCGATGAACTCTGAGCACTTCAACTGGCCTTTCTATAAAAGCAACTGCAACCGAGTCTAACCAGCAACAGTTGCAACCGTCGAGTGGACTTCACATTGACTATGATGCGGATTTCAGGTAGAGTTTTTAACTTTAATTAAGCGAGTTTAACTTACTATCCTTTTTAGGGCTATTTTTGCTTTTGGCCAGCTTCAACTTTTGCCTGGTCTCCCAAGGATATGCCCAGTGCATCGATACCTATGAGCCGGGCTGTAAACAGTTAGGGGAGATTGGACTTCCTCAACGGCATTGCATCGATCCCACCAAATATTGGCTGTGCCACGCCCTAAATGAAAAGGCCGAGCGGAAAAAGTGCCAGCTGAATACCGGTTTCGATCAAGATGTGGGCGCCTGCATACCCTGGATAGCCTGGATCTGGAAACAGTGCAGAGAGCCACCAAGTCGTCCGATTGGTTGGCAACAATGTGAATAGCATTCGAATATTCCTGAAATAAGCGAGAACTGTGTCTATGTGCTTGATTAAAATGACTATATCGAAACACTCAGAAAAAAATCGACCTCAATTTTAGAAAATCACCCCGAAAACTTGAAAGTTTTTTTTTTTTGGTTTTAAAAATAGTACAGTAAAAAATGTCAAACAATTAGGAAGACTTGCTCCAAATCAACAACCCCCAAAAATGAACAATTTCTTATTTTTTTTTTTATAAAAGAAACGCGTTTCTGTCAGTTTGTTAGTTCACCTCCTATAGAAACAATCAGTCCCCAAATAGCTAATTGCTTTTTGAATTTCTTCAGAGTTAAAATTTATTCGATAACAACTAAAAAAGATACGCAGAACTCAAATTTAACTTTTAGCCTATAATAGTATATATATTGAGCCAATATATTATTAGAGCTCAAATATGGAAATTAAGTTTATCATGAGCAGATCAAATGTATTTCCTTGCATCAACGAATTCCTCCGTTTCTCAGATCAAATTCTCCCCAAAAACAATTTAATATGCATAATACTTTCTAGATATTTATTATTACTAAAAATTTCAGTTCATAACAATAAAGCTATTTATATCTTTTTAGTAGACTAGATGAAAACATTTACATATGCCTAGCTTTCATCTTTTCATATAGTTTTTAAGTGCTTTTTTACAACTTTCCAAAGCAAATCAGATAGAAAATAAAAGTATAATAAAACTTTTTTTTCAGCTTGAGCATTTCCGAACTAATTTCCGTTGGCTTAAACCAAATTTACAATGCTTGTTTTCGGTTTTGCTTGTAAATTTTATCAATCATCTGCTGCTGAGGAAGACAAGTGCCGATAATAAAAACCGTTTTTATATATATGTCTATATAGCGTCAACATATTTACATTCATGTTTATGGATACAATGTGAAGATAAGTGTTATCTGTTATCTGCTAAGTTCTCGGAGTTGTCTCTCTGTTGATGACTCACTGCGTGTATTTCTCGCAGTGTATATATCAAAGAAGTTGTCAGCGCCAAACAATACAAAAACAAAGAGAGACAATTGCAGCTGACAACCGACATTTGACTTATGACATCAATTAAGTTGCCACGCCCAAATTGACGCTACCGCTCCCAAGTCCCCCGGCCACGCCCCCGTCGACGCACACACGCAAATCCGCAAGTGTTGATAGTTTCTGACAGATGAAATTAAACTGCTTGTTGGACGGCATCAAAAACATCTGCCATAAATCAATATTCACGTCGCATGTGGCATGTGGCAAGTGGCAAATGGCCTCGGTCCAGTGTTGCACGCAGAAAAAACATCCTGGCATTTTTTTAATTAAAACAATTTTATTGAGGAGAGGCAGTTCGAATTAAAAGTTCGACTTGCTTATCCTAAAATGTAAGCAGATATATTTTAAATCCAGCTGTTGATTACTTAGACTAAGACATTTAGTTCTTGTCTTAAGTACTCAAGCTGATTACTTAGAGTAAGACATTTAGCTATATTCATTAGTACTTAAGCTCTTAAGTCAATGAATTATTTGAGTTTCTACAAAACTTTCTATAAAAAAGTAAAACAGGTTGAAACCAGATTGCCAAACGAAACCGAAACTTTACCGATTGAAAATCAGAAATGGAATGGAAATTCAATTTTTTTTAAATACAGTTATAGGAGTCTATATTATTATTAAAAAATAATGTATATATATTGAACCAATTCATAAGCTTTACCGGAACCAGAACGAAAATTCGATTCGATTTTATTGATTAATGCAGGGTATTAGATTCATTTTAAGTACAAATTGTATGTGATGATTATTTTACTTGTATCAAACAATTTTGCTCAAATCAATAATGAATTACACTTATTTAAGGATATTAAAGAAGATTTTAAATATGAATTTTCATATTCGCGAACGTGACATTTTCCATGTTCAAAGTGCAATAAAAACAATAAAACTGCAGCATTTTTTGTACATTTTTTCGATGGTCTTTTAGTAAGTGTTACAAAACCATAAACAATTTCGCACATGACCAAATAAACAGGAATAAGAATAACAAAAAGAAATATACATTTTTTTTTCCTATTTCTCCCAGTGCATTTCTATTATACGTTGACTCTTGCATCGGCTTAAAGTCCAATAAAAAAAAAATTACATTTTTTGATTATTTTATAGTTTTTGTTTGTATTTATTGTATTTTCGCATATCCTTTGGTAGTTGTCAGTCAAGTCCTTTGTCGGCTTCTGAAATACGCATACACATCAATAAAACCAGTTGCAAAAATGAATTACCAATGCGAATTTTGTAATGGGAATTTCTTTTTTTTATTTTATTTCATCTGTTTCAAAAGAGAGTCGCTTTTTTCGATGCGAAAATTGCCACAAATATTTGCATATAAAAGAACGCAATTTGGGTAAAAAATATGTGCGAAACACAAAATGTAACCGTAATTTACAAAATGTAATTGGATTGAAACATATTTGTATTGGAGTTTCATAATAATCGGACTCAAATTAAATGGGAAAATGTTCATAGTCATTTTCAATGGCTGTAAATTGGCAAATATCAATAAAAATATATCCATTTATTAATTATATTAATTAATTTGAATGACAGAAAATATAGAGGTGTCATTTGATGGATTTTTTGTTAAACAGCCCGAAGGACTGTTATCACATTAAAAAAATCGAAATTACTTATTTCCCAACTCTCAATACTAAAGGAAAATTAAAGTAATAAGGAAAAACCATTTTTGACAATTGGATTTGGGTTTTTCCATACAGTTAAAAGAAAAAGCAGTAGAAAAAAGCTAATATTCTTTAATAAATCAATAATAGTAATAAATTGAATAATTCAGTTCAAATGATTTTGGATGATTCAATTTTTGAAAAACAATAGATTTTCTACCAATAAGATGCAGTTCACATTTAAGTAATAATTCGTTCAATTGATTTGACCACTTTACTAAAATATAGTTCTAATTCTTTAAACCTCCAGTCATAATTCACTTTATCTAGGACCCTACATAGGATTAGAACTTAAACGAATAAATAACTTTCTCAAAGTATTTTACTGTTTTCGTACCACAAAAACTTTAAGACAAAAGTGCATTCCGTAAGTTGTGCACTTGGTTTTGCCAAAAATCTGCGAAATGCCGCACAAATTAGCATAAATCACCAAAAAAAAAAAACACAAAGCCGGCTCAGGGCTCAAGGAGCAGTGCTAGGATAACACAAAATGCCGAGAAATTGCCTCTGTTATAGCTGTCCTTGTACTTCCTGCCTGCCGGCTTGTAGCTTGTAGCTTCATTTAATGGCAGACATTAATAACCTGATTTAATTTATGGCCAAAAGCAAACAAAGCCAAGTACGCGAGAGAACTTCGCGTCTCCTCCATCCTCAATCCCCTCTCGACCACAAGTCTGAGGCTCGAAGTGCAGCCGCAATGCAATGGCGTTGGCAATTACTCAAGTGTGTGTGTGTGTTGACTCTAATATCACCTTAAGGCGTCCCGAAAGCCAGCCAGCCAACCAGTCAGCCAGCCAGCCGGCGACAGCCAAGTACCTCATTTGCCAGGTAAAATCTATTCACATTTTTGGCCAGGCCCAAAGCCAGCGCTTTGAATTAATTAGCTGTTGTTTGCGGCTCGGCTATCTCTGGCCATAATTTACAACCAGAGCTATTCTTGTTGTCATGAATATGCAAGCAAGCCCCCAAACGGAACAACTAACAATCTTTAACAACAAACAAACAGCGCCATAAACTTACATCCAAAATGGCAACAGGATCTGCAACAGCCGAGTTGCCCCTTTCCCCATTATCTGCTTACATCATTTTACTTAGTTCCGTTGCTTTGATAAGATAACACCCAAGTTGGTTGGCTCTATAAAAGCAATACTCGCTAATTAGCATTGGTCAGTCTGAAAAGTGAGGTATTTTAATCATAATCATGAACTATCTGTATCTGCTCCTTTTCCTCCTGCTCCGCGGCCAATTTGTGGCGCATATTCACTGGAGAGCCAAACTGTCGGACGGATGAGGAAATCATAGTTGGAACCTATCGTAACTTTCTCAACAAGTATCAGAATTGGATATGCACGATTAAGGGTGAGCCTGCCACTAGTGCTTTCTGTCCACTTGGATACGCCTGGCTGGAAGATAACATGGTCTGTGTACCCACTTCCCAATGGTATTGGACACCCTATTCTTATCCACCCAGTTAGCGACTAGCTAAAGGAGCCTAAACAGAGCTGTTGCCGATCTATTTATTTGAAGACCCCTTACCTAGTTATACTAATTGTTATTAGTGGTTCTAATCCGAGTTCATGCAAAACGGTTCATGCAAAACATCTGAACAAAGTATTTTAGCAAAATCCCATGTCTTTATTAACAAAACAATAAAATAATTAAACAAATATATCTACAGATTTTGAATAATTTGTTTGCTTAAATAGTTGTAAATTCATTAAGTAACTTGATTATTGTTATTGATTATTTTTTACACATTTACGTCTTGACATTCTGAAAGGACGAAAATATTATCTATAAAATTATTTGTAATAAAATTATTTTTATATACAGAAACAATATGAAGTCATTTGTTAGCTCATGAATAGAGCTTCTGATTATCTTTTTAAGTCTATGGTCAACCAAAATTAAACGTCTAATTACTAAATGGTCGGGAGTCTGAGCAGCTACGATGTGAAATGTGGCTGAAACAATGCGTTAAGTAGGCGACTAGGCCATGTTGATTGTCATCCCAAAAACTGGCCACAAAGCCCAAATAATTAAAGGCAAAATAGAAAAAATATAACCGAAAATCGTCGGCAATTTAATTAAAAACAATTTTTGGAATGGTGTTATTTATGTAGCGTGTGGAAGGAGGCGCGATTAAAATGAAGGAGGCGTAGGCATTAAAAGAGCCGCGGTGCGGGGTATGAGGGCTGGGGTATAAGCCGCTTTGGAGACACATCGTGGACAGCGAGCATGTTGGCGCTGGCAAAGGATTTGCATTTGTTTGTGCTGTCCTCCGTACGTGGAACAATTACGCAG